AGCCAGGGCCCATATGACCAGCAGCCACTTCACTGAATCTCAGTTTGGGGAATCATTCTTCATCTACACCATAGGTAACAGACTTAATGTTGTTTACTGCATGACAGGCTAAACGAGAGGGGGGTCGACAGATTACACACACTGGGGAACTGTGAGACTGATACAACGTGACTAGACTGATAGAAGTACACTCACACGTCTTGGTATAGTGTGAGGAGTACGAGAACAAGCATGAAACGCATCTGTGAGGTTGAGAAAAACACAAGGTCAGACACATGAAGCAATACTTACTAAGCCGCAAAAAAAGAAAAACCTATGAGGTGAGCTGGTTCATTTATTATCAGCACCTGCTTACTGCATGTTACACGTAGTTTTTATATGAATTCGTACCCAGGGTGCTTGGAGTGAGTTGTCACGTTCTCCACCATAAGTAACCGCCCCCACACTGGTAAACACCGCCATTGTCTGTCTTGTTTACTTCATCAACAGTACCAAGATACGAGTTTAACTAATTATCACTAAATATTTCAAGTTTGTGTTAAAACCTAACCTAACCTAACCTAAAAAAAGAAAAAAAAAAGACCGTATTGGTTGGGCAGGTTGGGTGTAAACAGGGCTGCCTAGTGTGGGTCAATAGGCCTATTGCCATTTTTCTTTATATTTATGTTCTTATGTTATACTATAAAGTGTCATCCTAGCATCATCCTAGGACAGGCCGGCAAGAGTATCAAACACACTGGGAAGAATAAGAGCAAAAAAAATCGCTACTTAGGGGTTAGATTAGGTTAGGTTAGATTAGTGTAAGAAGTAATTAAATGGTATGGTGAGTGGTGTTATACGTACTATAATATGGTGCATATAATTATGATTTGTATGTATATATTTTCAATTTACTATTATGTGCACTCTTCACTAGAGCATGTGAGGGTGTTATGAAAAAGCAAGAAAAATCAAACTGGTTACCACGATTTTGGAGAATAAACGCTGACATTTCCCGTCGATATGAATACACTCACACTTTTTCTTCTCCTCCTTCCCTCTTTTTCTCAATCACAAGGACTTAGGACATAATTATCAAGTTCCCGACGACTATTAGTTCATTCAGCAGCGTTGGACTTTTGACATGTAAAATTACAAATGTGTCCTTTGACTCTGTATACTTTACCCGCCCTGATAAAATTTTGGCTTCGGGCCTATAAGTATAAAGTATTATGTACTCAACATTATTAAAAAACGGAGAGTTAGGAGATTCAAAAATGACCCGGCACCCCACTCAAGATTTGTTTTTTCTTAAGTACTGGTAACGGGATGTTGTCCTGTGATGTTTTGTCCAGGTGTAACTTTCTAAGCACTGGGGCGAGCACATCACTAAGCCGAACACAAACCGCAGGGAACCAGATATAGCCGGAATATATCAGACCAAACCGTTTCAGTGTCAAGAATCCTTGGAAAGAATTCAGAGGAGAATGACATGGCATCAAAGGTAATATCCTTAAATGGATTAGGGCGTGGTTACAGGACAGTACACAGCGAGTGAGCATTAATGGCACTAAGTCCCATTGCAGCAAAGTCACAAGTGGAGTTCCCCAAGGCTCAGTACTTGGACAATTATTATTTATTATATACATAAACGAAATAGATATCGGCATAGACCGCAACATAAGCAAATTTGCTGATGACACTAAAATAGGACGTGTTATTAAATCTGACGAGGACTCCGCAAAACTACAGGAAGATCTAAACAAATTTTTCGAATGATCTGAAAAATGGCAGATGAAATTCAACGTGGACAAATGTAAAGTACTCAGTATAGGAGATGTAAACAGGGAAACCAGATACCAGATGAACAACGATGCCATAGAGAAATCCGACTGCGAGAGTGATTTAGGAGTAATGATAAGTAGGAACCTTAAACCAAGTAAACAATGTGTTTTTGCTGGTAACAAGGCTAATAAAGTACTTGGGTTCATACAAAGGAGTGTTAGTTTCAAGACTAGCGAGGTCATCCTAAAACTGTATCTTGCTCTTGTGAGACTACACCTGGATTACGCAGTTCAGTTCTGGTCACCGTATTACAGAATGGATATAGAATCCTTGGAAAGAATTCAGAGGAGAATGACAAGACTAATCCCGGGCATTAGGAACTTTGAGTATAGAGACAGGTTAAAACATCTTAATTTGCACTCTCTCGAGAGACGTAGAGCGAGGGGCGACCTGATAGAGGTGTATAAGTGGAAGGCAGGGCTAAACAAAGGGGACATTACAAAGGTACTCAAACTATCCAACCAGGAGCGAACTCATAACAATGGTTTTAAATTAGACAAATTTAGATTTAGGCGTGAAATAGGTAAACACTGGTTTGGAAACAGAGTAGTGGATGAATGGAACAAGTTACCAAATATCATCATTAACTCGAATACGCTGAATAGCTTCAAACATAGGTTGGATGCTTATATGAGCAATAGGGGTTGGGTGTAAACGGGACTGCCCAGTATGGGCCAATAGGCCCGCTGCAGTTTCCTCCATTCTTATGTTCTTATGTTCTTAATACTACTTAGTGGCTGCCAGAGATGACTTTTGTACCGTATGAGATTGCACATCTTCGGAACTGTAACCAGATAGGAATTCAATCGAACCCTCTATGATGGATTTTCTGTGTTGGCATTTATACATACACAACAATTAACAATGAGATTGAGCAGGCGTGTCAATGGTGTCTATGATATCAGCTATACCTGTACAGTATATGCACTACAGCGTGTGCGTGTGTTATGGAAGGAGAAACAATCATCTTGATTACCCCCAAATTTAGTTAAGTAAACAAAAGCACCTTCACGGCCTACATTAGAGAGCACCCTAACTCAGATCTCGGGTGATTCTTAGCATAGGATATTGGGGGAGTAATCGTGTTCACATGTAACGTTATCAGCCCCTTTCCATCCCTCATTCGGCAGCGTTAGACTTAAATATGCACATCTTGTGTTTCACTATGTTCACACACACACACAAAAGAAGCCGTTAATTATATTTATACTGTAACTTGAGTCAAAAAAAGAAAATATTCAGTTAGCATCTACCAAAGTGTGGGCATCGTACCGGACATTTACTGTATTTTATCCTCTCCGTCACTGGTCTGTTTGTCCCTTGGGAAGTCGGTGACGAGACACGTCTCTGTTACGCATTGTTGGCAAGGTTAGTACCGGGTATGCACTGGCTCCAAGATGTATCTGAACTTGGGTGAGTGTTGGTCATGTCTGATGTTACATGAGCTCATACTTTGTGCCGTCACAACACTCTCTGGAAGGTTATTCAGAAGGTTCCCATCTCTCACTCCAAAAACGTTTGCCATGACAATATTCTGAACTTACGGTTTCTTTACCCTGTCTGGTGCGGGCATTTGCTATTTTCAGGTTTGGGCACTCGACTTAGTGTTGTCCTCTGCGGTGCTTATAAACTTCTATTAAGTCACCCTTTACCCGTTCTAATCTCTCTGGGCACCTGAGGTGTCGGAGTGCAGGCACCAGTCTGGTGGCCCTCTTTTGGACGTTATTCACCAACTGACAGTCTCTAACATATCTCGGGAACAAGGCAGTACTCCAAACGGGAAAGCACGATGGTCCGAGGACTTCAACACGTTGTCAACATATGCACTCATATCCTTTTCACATTGGTCTCAGACATCCCTTTATCCCAGCCACTACCCCAACAGTTCCACCAAAGACATGTGCTTTCCGGTGGCACATAGTAACTTCGTCTCATTAATTTTTATGAACATATGTTGACGAAACAGTAAACGTATTACCTTGAACATTATTTTCTGTAGAGTATTTTTTCTGTGATAAACTACGACAATTTTGATGTAGTTATCAAAACTGTGAGTTATCATTTATGTTAGATGTCGTCCATCAGAACACCGTCCTCATATGAGGGTTGGCGACCACCTCTAAACGTCTATGAGATGAGGTACAATATTTAGAACATTAATTGTAATGAATTGTCAGAGTTCTGGCTACACGTAACTGATTCCTTTCACACTCACAAAGTCAGAAACCAAAATAGTATCGAATTTTCACGAAGACTTTACAATTCTCTTATCATCAGTTGCAAGGATAAGATTGACAAATGAATTTTTGAGAATTCATGACCAAGGCATTGAATTGTGTTTGACTCATCTCCTTGCCAAGGTCTGCACCCTCAGCTGGCCCGGGGCCGGAACACGATGACCTCATCCACTATACAACAGTCACCAACTAGGGATTAAACCTCACACTAGCAGGTCCAAATAATTTGCTGTAAACGGATATAAGAAATCCTGAACTATTGATACTCAGTCTATATCTTTGAAATAATTAATACATTCGGTAAACGTATTTGAAACTTTGAGTGAACTTAGTCAAATTCACTTGCATTGTTTTGATGTCAAGTTTTTGTTCATTTTATGGATTTGACATCAAAGTTGATATTCACGCTGTTGTAAATCTTTACAAGTGAAAGTTGTTAAATGTTCCACAGAACTTACATTAATTGTCTAAACAAATAAGTCTGTAAAGTTTGAGGCCTCATCATAACTTACATACCGACGAGTGGCCAACAGGATAAAGTTGAAGTACAGTAATGACTTAAACTCTTTTTATCCACAAAGCCAATTGACATTGTCATTTAAAGCAATTCTGCATCAATATGTGAAAACTTTCGGCGACCTTCGGCATCGACCAATCAGGAACGAGTTTTCAGAAAGTCTTCCATGACGTCACACAGGTTGAAGCAGGGTAAATTTGAACGATAGTTAATGAATAAACTCATGATTTATACTGCTATATTAAATAATTTTACTATAAAAACAATGCAAATAATGCTAAATTTTGTTTATCTAATGTTATACAACCAATTTAGATCATAAATGAAAAGAAACTTTGTTCTGAAGAGACTGTAGCAAGGCGAAACAATATGCGATCCTGACCGTCTGATTTCATTGTGCTCCCGGGAAATCTCCGACTGAAGGCCGGTATATAAGGGGCTGGAGCCAAGTTTGATCCATTGTGTGGCCAGCAATCCCCAATACACTACTTTGATCCATTACACTCAAGTTTACCTGCTGAGTAAGTGTGACGGCTGGTGCATATATTTATCCACAACTTACAGGTAAATAATAATTGTATGAAAATTGTTTATTGCGAAAAAATAAAAATATTTTGTGCAATTAAGAAGTGGTAAACTATGAATTGTGGATTATAATCAAATGTTTTATGTCGTGGAATGAAGAAAGCTAAGCGAAATACATTTGACGAGTGAGTGCTCTTAAGATTAACAGTGACTAACAAGCAACGGGATAACCAAGTGACATTCCAACGCTAATTATAATAATTCAGTAAAATTGTCACACAGGCTTATAATTGGATAAGCATGACGTTTCAAGTGTCTGCAACGATAACTGCATTTTAAATCTTTGTTATATTTTGGGCTCGAGGTTGAGGGTGAAGGAAATTAATAGTTAACGTGCGATATCCTACTTGTGTGTGTGTGTGTGTGTGGGTGTTTTTTATTATTTTTTTAATTGGGTTTATTAATGACGAAATTAGACATCCAAGTAGGTGACCAAATGTTTCTGCCTCTAATACTGTATTGGTTATAATTACCTTCATTTCCTCACGTGAAATAGGCTACATGTTTCCGACTAGTTTTGTATTGAAGACTATTCCCATACGTCGGAAAAAAAACCCGCAATTTTTATCATTTTTTTTTCCTGGACAGATATCAACGTCTATTCGCAACATTCTCCCGACTTTATTTTGTGTTTGATATGTTAACAAAACTTATAAACACACGAACCCTTTCAGAGACAACTATTTGATATGATTTATGTGGAATAAGATCACTTAACTTCGCGATGATGCAATGTTTTTAGTTAGGGTAGGTAGGTTAAGTTGGTTCATCTTTTATCGCATACGGTTGAAACATCGAAAGTTAGAAGCAACAAGTGTCACAATTCCCACCTGCTGTTTCTCGATTACAGGTGCAGGATTTGCATGTGTACCGCTGTAGCCTTACCTCTTTCCCCCCACACATACAGTATTGACAAACCCGCAAAATGCCTATATTACTGTCTTACACGCCGATGTGAATCCTTTGAACTCAGGAGCTATAGTAAGAAACATTATAATATACTCATGGGACGGTAGAAGAGGCGGGGAGTAATATCTACATAGGTAATAACTGCAAACCCCCGCGTTTTATTGATCTGCATGGTACTTGTATGGCCAAAAGACTCATAGTAAAAAGTCTCCTAAATTGCGTATATAAGCCACCATTAATTTTGATGAGTTAGTTTTTAAACGTCAAGAAAATAATGGTATGACAAGAAATTGTTCAGTCACAAGTAAACATTATCTTTAACAAATGGAAAGCTGATTTTTTTAATAATTGTGCAGACTCTCTAAGACATGCACACTGGAAGCTCGTGATAGATCAGTAGTTCAGCATCATCCGGTTACCGAGGTTTCAGATCAACCAGATGTAAATTATTAACTGGTAACTATGAACAGGAGAAGGAAGCGTCAGGTCAAGGCTGCTGTGCTTTTAGTTTAAACTGAACTTTTATTTATCATATTTTTGTTAACTCCACACACACACACACACACACACTTGAACACGTCCTGTGTGAAGATAGAACCTTTTAGGGACAGGTCCAAGCACACTGTGTGTGAAATGGCAAAACACTTCATCTCTAATGGCAAGATAGCCGACATATTAAGATTGTATCCACTTTTTTCACTTAGTAGCTATAACAGCTCCCATGTATAGAACCAAACCACAATGTGCTTGAATACCTCTCACGCAAATGTGAATAACAAAGTGTGCGGCCAGATATATTGCCTCACACTCCTGTACTCAGGCAGTTGCGAATAAATTACCCTTTATGTATAGAACTAAACAAAGAATTTATTTTAAATACTGTGTAACATTCAGTGCCATAATAACCAGACCATGGGGTTAATTATTCTGACCCTTTGTAAACTATACTCTGTAATCCTTTTGCGCTACCGCTCACAGGAGGAGTATGGAGTGCACAATAAACTAGCCGCTGTAAGTGGCAAAATAAAAGAAAACAAAATTGGGAACGTCGAGGTGTACCCAGTGTGTGGCAACACCACTACCACCTCGTGACCTCCACATTAGTAAGGTTCGGGGCCCGGGCAACCTGACAACCTGACAACCCATGACCCTTCAGGCTTTTACGCTCTTAATGCACGAGTCAAAATCTGAGCTACCATTCTCCTTCATTGCACAAGTCAAAGAAGGCAAGCATGAACTCTGCATGCTTCCCTTTTGGAGTTTGGACACTGTAAACTCTTTGGCGCCTCGCCTTGCACAGGACCTCCCCTTCCTACGTTCCCCTGTCTACAATTTTAAGTAATGATGAAGTCATGTTTTCTTTTCTTACCGCAAAGTGAAGGATGGCTGTCCGCCGTGCGGTGAGCCAGGGGGAAAGAGCAGCCACACTTAATTCCCTCTTCTTGGGTGTTGGACACTTCCCGTCCCTGTCGCATATCTTTCTTGTTTCTCATTCGTTGTGACGGGTTAATAATGATAATTACTTAACTGGAACAAGATTGGCTACCGAATTTGGCTACCGAATTCATGGCACAACCTCTTAAATGATGAAGATGGGTAAATACGTAATATACAGGTGTTGAATCTTTGTCTCGAGACATAAATAAGTAGATACAACTATAAAGATTGACAAATGTCCGTGCACAGTACCCCAGGTCGGTGATGTGCCTCGGGTGGGGCACGAACCACTTGCATTACTCACGGAGGTGTTAAGTAACATGCATTAAACTCAAGCGGCCACGGGGGTGTGACAAATAGACCTAAAGCCCCAAAAATATCAGTTTATCACAATTTCACTTGATTAAATATTACTCTGTGCTGGAAATTAGAAAGTCTGAAGACGACAGTGTCCATTGACCTTCACAAGAATGTGTACGTGTTGACTTGAGTCAAGTCAACACGTACACATTCTACAGTCAAGTCACTTGACTGTAGAATGAGTTTTTAAAGGATGGAGCCTCCAGGGTGTAGCTTACCCTAGTGAAGGTCAGTGAGGTCCCAGGTATCCAGTGATAACGGCCCTTGAGACCCAACAACCAGCGATGTGTTAATCCGTCTACAATAGGAAGGCCTGGGACCACACCTCACTCGTATAACACCATCTGTGAGGGAATTACTACACCACGTCAGGCCCCTCATAACACCATATGTGAAGGAGTTACTACACCACGTGAGGCCCCTCATAACACCATCTGTGAAGGAATTACTACACGTGAGGCCCCGCATAACACCATCTGTGAGGGAATTACTACACCACGCCAGGTCCCTCATAACACCATCTGAGGGAACTACTACACCACGTGAGTTCCTCCTGACACCATCTGGGAGGGAGTTACTACACTACGTGTTTGCTGTTCAACACCTACATTAATCTGTATGTTCCTTTACCTTTCTCTAATGAAGGCTGTTGTTAAACCACCAATGTATGTAATAAGTCATTTATGTCCAATGTATATTTTCAGCCTTCGGGCTGCAGAACTTTTTCAATAAACCGTTAATTATTATTATTATTATTATTACAAGACGCCGGGTGAATAATACTCGTATTTACCACACATAAACACACACACGTTTTTTCTTTCCTCTATATATATATATATATATATATATATATATATATATATATATATATATATATATATATATATATATATATATATATATATATATATATATATATATATATATATATATATATATATATATCGATAAAATCACACGGGAAAAGGGAAACAACGGAGCACTTTAGCTTTCGTCTTTATTCAAGACGAAAGCTCATGTATATTGGACGACACACACACACAAACATCTCTCTCTGGAACTCCGTGTCCTAGTTATGTTATAAGAGGTAAGCACTTCACGTTATCAGGTGAGGGTTATCGTGGCATCATCATAAGTGCGCATGTGCTGTAAGTGGTGGCTCTGTAACACATGTCTTCACTCTGGTAATATCTGTTTGACATTCATTATAATTTCGTGTTGCCATATCTGAACATTAAAAAAAGAGGACGTTCCCGAAGACATCCTGCTCCCCGCTTGGCACACACTTTGGCGGTATGTAACCTTGATGCAGCCGTGACCGTTTTATGCTTTGGAAAAGTACAACAAATCGTAAGCACTAGATGTGGCACCAAGCGACAAACCCACAACAAAGACACTAAGATCAAACACTGTCACTGCAGGTTAAGGACTGGCCAACCACCGGTCACCGTCATAGTTGTCAACACACGTAAATAATATAGTGAAAGTGGCTAGATTATGGTTGAAAATTGCTAAAATGCCTTAAATGCAGGACAAGAAAAACAAATGCTAGTGTAAAAAAAGCCATAAGAAAAAAATGGTATACTTTCAATATTTAATTTTTTACTGTTATAGCACTAAATACAAACAAAATTATAATAATGCATGTGGCTGAAGAACACGGAAAAGCAGTACAAGGCACTACAGGCTAGTCCAAAAACTGCTCGCAGCTAAGTTGACAACACCGTACAGGCGTACGGTACACGTGACTTATCAGCTGACGAAAACTGAACGAGATATCTACGGTTTCCACCTCCCCTCTCTCACAGTCTCTCTCTCTCTCTCTCGTCATTACAGTTTCATGTTTCTTTCCGTGGAGAAAATGATGGAAGCTGAAATTCCGGACTTTTGTAGAATTTTAAAAATTATTCTGGATGAAGATTTCGAGACATAAATGGAGGACATGTCCGGGAAAATATGGACGTATGACAACCCTATTATAATTATACATGTTGCATGGTTACCCAGCTCGTCCTAATCTATGTGTGTACTATCATGTGTGCAGATGTATATACTGGAGCGCGTGTTTGTGCGCACAGTACTTACAGTACGTAATTATGCAAGAGCGCGAGCTCCGCATCCTGCTCAGATTCCGTGAGGTTGATGACTTTGTAGTGGATTTCTCCCCTACAAACGCTGTTTGTCGCTGAGTAGCCGACCCCACCAATTCCCCAGTGTATGCCTCGTGGTCTAGGTCAACCAGCGCCGCCATACATCACGGAGCGGGGGTCAACTACTAAGCCACGCCTAGCCCCCGCTATTTAAGACCTGACCTCGTGGTGACCTGTCTCTTTTCTACCTACACCAACCAGCCAGCAACACACCTCCTCCACCGCTGCCTGGCGGCCCTCGCTCCTCCTCCCCCTAGCATCGCGACCCACAAGCTGGTCCTCCTCTGAGCATCCTCACCAACCAGCTCTCTCTACATCGCGCTTGTAACCATGCTGCCTTCCCAGCACCAAGCTGCATTGTACATCCAATACAACATGTATATAGAGAGCACATTGTGAGTTTCCTTTCTCCATCCCATCCTGAGTGTGAACCAAACATCCTGAACCCCACAAATGGTGACTCCCGGAGATTCGCACTCACACAGGATGGAGTAGAAACAGATCACGCTCCCAGTCTTCAAGCAACATGGAAGACTGGCTTATCCACCAAGAAGCAGCTCTCATTGGCTCTACAACTACTGTCTCTACACTGCAGGTTAGACGCCCTAGAGCAGCACTGTTTCTCTAAGCAGACACCAGCTCCTCTTCCTGCCCCAAGCACCACGTCCTACCGACCCCAGCACACCCGTCCTGCCTCAGACGCCGCCCCCGGCCCAGCAGTAACCCCTGCCGCCCCTGATGCGGCCCCTGCTCCTGACGCGGACTAACACACCCGTCCTGCCTCAGATGCCGACCCCGGCCCAGCAGTCCCCCCTGCCGCTTCTCCTGACGCGGCCCCTGTTCCTGAGTGCGGACCCACACACCCCTCTTTTCTCCCTCAGGTACTCCCTGCTAATGTCCTGCACCCTGCTGCTGTCGTGGACCCAGCTGCTGTCACGAGCCCTCATCCGCTTCTGCTGACGCAGCCCCTATTCCTGACCCAGGCCCACACACCCCAGCAGGCGCATCTGACGACTCTGTACCTGCCGTGAGGGAAGCACAACATTCATCGCCTCCACACACCCTTTTTCTCCCTCTTTACTCCCACAGATATTGTGTATCTAGACAGTTGTGTCCAGCGACCGGCTCATCCACGCCATCGCCGTTGTCTCACATGAGGCATGCACCGCCCGTTCTGCCTCACGTGTGCTAAGCAACCCTGCAGACAACAAGTCTCCTACACCGCCTGGAGGGAAGGGGGAGTATTGTAGTGGATTTCTCCCCTACAAATGCTGTTTGTCGCTGAGTAGCCGACCCCACCAATTCCCCAGTGTATGCCTCGTGGTCTAGGTCAACCAGCGCCGTCATACATCACGGAGCGGGGGTCAACTACTAAGCCACGCCTACCCCCCGCTATTTAAGACCTGACCTCGTGGTGACCTGTCTCTTTTCTACCTACACCAACCAGCCAGCAACACCACCTCCTCCACCGCTGCCTGGCGGCCCTCGCTCCTCCACCGCCTGCCTGGCGGTCCTCGCTCCCGCCGGCGAGCATGGCGACCCACAAGCTGTCCTTCTCTGAGCGTCCTCACCAACCAGCTCTCTCTACATCACGCTTGTAACCATGCTGCCTTCCCAGCACCAAGCTGCATTGTACATCCAATACAACATGTATATAGAGAGCACATCGTGAGTTTCCTTTCTCCATCCCATCCTGAGTGTGAACCAAACATCCTGAACCCCACAACTTTGTAGGGCGTTTATGTGTCAAGGAAAGTGTTAGTGCCATTGGCACAATCAGTGGTAAAGCCTAAATATTAATACCATGGTAACTTTAAAACGCCTGAATTTATAAGAAAGTTCAGGTATGATGGAAAAATATAATGCAAATGTTCCTAACACGGTTTTATGGTTTGTTTCACACTGATTCTTAGGCTAATGCAGTACTGTGAATTACAAACGCCTTCTATAGACACAAACTGTACAGGTACTAAAACAGTTCCTAAATGGGTACTGCACCAACATTGAACCCCTTACACTACTGTAAATAACAAACAGTTAAAATTTATTTCGGAAGCAAGAAATCAAAATTAATTGCTGGTACTGTACAGGGTATTGGAAATGTTTACACAACAGTACTGTACTGTATTGATTTATTCCATTTTGGTTGCTCTTTAAATTTGTTGATACATGAAATTCGGTTATCAGTAAAACTCAGGTACTATACCTTTGTTCACAGCATAATTTCCCACAGCATGTAGTATGGTAGCACCAAGGTAAGAAGGGTTAGCTTAAGTCCTAGGCTTTGAAATAAGTGGAAACAGAAAATAATAGTCACACTGCTTCTTTCTGAGTTCTGTGTTCAGTATGTATCCAAACATTCAAAACTGGGCTAAGGTAAAACTTGTTGGCCGTCCTACTTCAGTTACATCCTAATATGGCAGAAGTTGTGCAATGTCTGTGATGCCTAATCATAGAGCAATAAAAACAGTGGGTTCTGCTGTCATAACCACCCTGAATCCAAGGTTCTACCGGTCACTTTTCTCCAAAGCCAGTGTGACCCCCCCCCCCCCCCAAAAAAAAAAAAAAAAACACTGGGCCTCCCTCACCTCACCCTAACTGAAACCTTGGATGGCAAAGAAACAATGGTAAAGTTACCTGGGCAGTTTGGGCACCTATAACAAAAACAAAAGCCGACTGTTTATGTATTACATAGTTATTTATTTAAACAAATTAAAACCGAAAGATGAGAAAGTGACTGAGGAGTGTATAACCCATTGTTTTATCAGTCATAGATACTATATGTATACGTACTGCATTGGTGAATCGTGTTATAATCACAATACACCTTCTTTGTAGAGTACTGTTCTGGCATATCTAAATTTATATACTGTAGCCATGTACCAGTAATTAATTACTGTATGATCATATTTTCAGATCTAATCATACAGCAATGGTATGAATGCCCAATATGCCTTTATATCACCACAATTACTGTCATTGTGAATCTCTGTATGTACAGGTATATTGTTGACAGGAAAATTGTCCCCCAAGCCAATCCCTCTCTTATACATGTTCCTTTGGAAAAACAAAGAAAAAATTCATTACTTTAGAGAAATATTTTCATCATAGCCCCATTAAAAATCCTGAATCACTGAGAAAATTTTTATCACTTATTCTTATTATTATAACCTTATTATTTACGATTACCTTATCATTATTGCATTTTTATTCTTTTTGTGGATGGTTAAGCATCAGACTCTCATTTCCAGAGCAAAAAATGTCTTTGAGGTGGTCAACAGTGTTAGTGCGTCGAGTGGCAGTGCCTCTGCTGCAAACCTCACGTGCCATCCACACCAGAGGTCAGGTTCACTTCAGATATATAGTACAGTATCTCTTAAATGCCAGTCTGTCTTTCTGTGATGATAGTCATTTTGGTTAATTATGTATATAAAGGTACAGATATCTGGATTTCTGTAAGTAGAAAGCAATGTTTTCAAAGTCAAGTGAACTAGGGCTCATTGCTGTTAAGAATGCCCTTTGTGGTGGTCAAGCTCTGGGATTGGCTGTCGGGAACCTACTGGTCCCCTAGTCAAACCCAAGTACGTACTGTACTGTAATTTATTTTTAAAGTTCCTGATATTGTCCTTTATCTGCATATACAGTTTGTACTTAATAAAAATACTGTGGTCAAAGATTTAAAAGATTAGTTTTAAGTCAGAGAATGTACAGTATGTACAGTATATTGATCATATCTAAGGGAAGATCTGCCTAATGAAACTGTGTGTGTATTGTACTTAGGAAAATCCACCGTGGTACCAGCAGCATTGCGGTCTGATGTTGCGCCAACTCCAGTTATTACCTCTGTGCTGCCTGCTCACCATCTCACCACCAAAGTTATTTTTGACACCCATACCACAGCTGACTTCAAGTACATCTGGGTACGTCCACAAATGACAATGTTTGTATAAAATTACAAGTACAGGTGCTCCTCTACTTAAGAACGTTCAACTTATTGTGGATGAGACTGGATTATTTTGAAGAAAATTCCAGAAGAACAAACATTACCTGAGAGGAGAAGAGTGAGCCAGGTTTTAAGGCTTTATTAAAGGGTATAGCTGTACTAAATAGCCGTAATCTTTTCATTTTTTACAATATGTTTGGTATCTACAAGAGTAAAGTTGGACTTACAAACAAGCCTCAGGAACGTAACTTGTTCGTAAGTAGAGGAGCACCTGTACAGTATAGAATATCTCTCTTCTTTTGACAATACAGTGCAGGTACTCTATTGTATGTGCTTCCATGTAATAATATTCAAAGTTAATACTGCAACTCCATTAAGCAATACCTTTCTGTCCCCTCAATGACAATACAGTAATGTAGTTCTAATGCATTTCTTTCCTCTTTGATAAATTAGTATTCTACAGTTTTAAGAAAATCCTTGCAGCACATAGTCAATGCTCATACTGTACAGTACATGCAAATACTGTAACAGCTTCCTTCCTGATAGATTGAGTATGGTTCATTTTTGGTATTCTAGTTCCACTTTTCCAGACTTTGGTAAACCAATTATGTGTACATGTAAACCCAATTTGTGGGCAGCTAATACCATCACTGTGGTGTTCTATCTTCAGCTACGTGACAATTGCCAGTGCGCCACGTGTGTGGATCCCACCACCAAACAGAAGTTGGTGGACTCTCCAGTTCTAAATCTGAATATCAAGCCACGTTCTCTCACCATTAATAATGCAGGCAAACTGGAGATCACGTGGTCTGAGGAAGGAGAACTTCACAAATCTGAATATGACCCAGCATGGTACTTATTACTGTACTTTTGGCTACTGGTATATATTCTAAGGTTTCCATGATTTAATGGGCAGTGTACTACAGTATAGTGGTCCAGTGCATGGTTTAAAAATGTATTTTAGTTTACATTCTATATTTTCAAGAGGTAGGCTCTCAGTTAACCTGGCAAAATGGCACTTATCATGGTGCGTATAGTCTATAGTTTGACTAACCAGGTTCTCGGACTGTACTGTAGACAGTAGAAAAGACTGGGGGCTGTCACTTAACAAAGCACATACATATTACACTGTCAGTGCGTTCATAGTACACATGAATCTACAATTCTTCTTAGCTCTGACGAAGGGAGCACAATGTGCATAAAGTAAAAACATTAGCTTTAGTGTCTGATGTTAAAATCCCGTTTTTTTTTATATTATATTTGGCTAACCCACGCAGGCGTGGAAAATGGCTGTAAAATGATGACAATGAAGATGTTTACTCTGTTATGCAGTATTTCTCTCGAATTTTGTAACTTTTAAAATTTTTTAATACTGTACTCTACTCTAATTGACTGCAGTACAGTATTTCAGCATTACAACAATTCATTGACAAATAGTGAACATCCTAACATCACAAGTGAAGTTAGCTAAAATGTGATTAGTGCTTGCTCTGTAAGATCTAGTCAAACAGTAACCTGCATTTATCATTTTTTACAGGCTGTTCAAGTATGGCCAGTCCTTCATGCATAACAATTTTGCCAGCGACAATATTGACGTTGAACTACTGACTCGAAGACCAGAATTTGAGTTGTGGGATCGGACAACTATTTGGTCCAAGTTCCCTGAGATGTCATATAATGAGATGATGGAGAGTGAGAGTGGACTTAAACAGTGGCTGGATCTATTCTACAAGGTAAACTTAATGATATATAATGAATATTTATCAATATACTGTACAGGATACTCTTCATCAAACTATCTTGGCATTTATTAATGAATAATCTCAAATTAATTTAATATGGAGATGGATCTGATTTGAGAAATCTCTCATTCTTTTGGAACATGCTGGATATATTTGATATTATCTATGGTTGTTATAACACATTAATACCATTAATTTTCAAGTATGGTGTGGCAGTTCTGCGTGGAGTGCCAATTAAAAAAGATGCAATTGTTGACGTGGTTAAGCGATTTGCCTATGTGAAGGAGACCCAGTACGGCCATACTTTTGACGTTATCAACAAGCCAGTTAAAGGTTCCCACCTGGCATACACTGGGGTTGCCCTGGCTCACCACACGGACATGAACTACAGGGAGAAAAGCCCTGGTATGCAGCTGCTTCACTGTCTCAAGGTATTATACTGACTATAAAATGAGTGTTACAACTCTAATTTATTTATAATTATTTCAACTATCTCTGGGTCTTACTGTTGAAGAGAAACAACCTATCAGTTAGAAAGAATGCTACAGAATCTAAGAGATGATCTTGATTCCAAACATTGCGTGTCATAGCAAGTGAGGGCTTGCATGAGGGGAACTGGCCAATGAGAATGAGTTACTTACCTGGTAAGTGAAAACCATAATAACCTCATTGCTATATTTATGAGTCTCTTGTAAGACTACAATTTAATATTGAAATTACAGATGTGATGGTGTTATAGATTATTATTTTGTGAAAATTATGTACTGTATGTGTTTTAATTTAGTTTTGGATAACTAAGTATAATAAAAATACATTTGGACAGAAAATAAGTCATGAAAATTACATGACCATCTTAATTTGCGGTACTGTACTCAGTAAGTATATATTCTCCCAACAACAGGCCAACGATCCAAATAATTCTGACTCTGACCCTGGTGGTCGTTCTTTCTTCGCTGATGGATTCCAAATTGCTAGATGGGTGGAGGAGAATGAACCTGCAGCATATCATGTCCTCACCTCCACACCAATCAGGTAATTCTTCATCCAGTCAGTTGTTCCTCATTCAGCTTAACCCCTTCACTATGGGATGTCACTTTTAGTATCCTATTCGGCTAACGCTAGACAATTTTATTCAGCACAGAGAGACAAGGGGTTAATAAATACCGTATATACTCGTCTATAACTCCCCCTCGTTTATAGGTCGACCCTGGTTTTTTGACCAAGAAATCGTTAATTTACGATATTCCTCGTTTATAGTTCGACCCACGTTTTTGAGGGTAATGGAACAACAAAACCTTCACTAAAAACGGTCTACGTCCTATAAACTGAGGCTCGCCGTGCATGAAACACGAGTGCCGAAGGTAAATTGTTTACCATTTATTATTACGACACTTTACACTGAAACGCAGGTAGTTTCAACAAAAATATTGTATATTTCCATTCAAGTATTTATTCAAGTCAATTAGGAGGGAATATTATTGTAATACAACAGTTTTTAACTAAACCATTCGAAAAGCGAATACGGTAACATCTTTTGAACGAAAGAAAGCGAAAGTCATTGCTTTCGTCACGATTTTATCCCACTTTCCACTGTAATACGTACGTAATTTCAGCAAAAATATTACATTTCCGTGAGTGTATTATATCAAGCACAGTATGAATAGAATATCATTGTAATATAACAGAATTTTAACCGAAAACACTTAAAAAAACGAGTAACATCTCAAGAACAGAAGCTTAGGTAAAGTCTTTTGTTTTCGTCATGTATTTTATCCTATTTTACATTGAAATACATCACGTTTCAGCAAAACTACTATTTATTTCCGAGAATATATTCGTTCAGGCGCAGTTTAGGTAAAATATACGTGTGATGTAATAGTTTTTTAACTGAAAACGATTCGAAAAACACGTACCCTCTAGCCCTGTTCAAGGAGAGGACTGGGAGAAGCTGTTTGGTGCTGCAGACGATGACAAGGAAAATGATTTTGATGGATTTTAATGAAAATATTCAGAAATATGGTATCGTAGTATTTATTCAAGTCAATTAGGATAAAATATTATCGTAATACAACAGTTTTTTAACTGAAAACCATTCGAAAAGCGATTACGGTAACATCTTTTGAACGAAAGAAAGCGAAAGTCATTGTTTTCGTCACGATTGTATCCCACTTTCCACTGTAATACGTACGTCATTTCAGCAAAAATATTACATTTCCGTGAATGCATTATATCAAGCACAGTATGAATAGAATTCCATTGCAATATAACAGTATTTTAACCAAAAACTATTAAAAAAACGAGTAACTTCTCTTGAACATCGGAAGGTTAGGTAAAATCTTTTGTTTTCGTCATGTATTTTATCCTATTTTACATTAAAATACATCACGTTTCAGCAAAACTACTATTTATTTCCAAGAATATATTCATTCAGGCGCAGTTAAGGTAAAATATACATGTGATGTAACAGTTTTTTAACTGAAAACGATTCGAAAAACTTGTGTATCGTCTAGCTGATACAGCTGGTGATGCGTCATGCGTCGTTGTAAACAATAGGAGGTTGAAGTAGATTACCGGGTATTATATTAAGTGTGAAATATCGAAAAGGTTTTTAATACCAGTATTTTTTGTAGATCAATGAGAACTGTGATACCGTATATGATATGATAGGTTAGCCTGTGCTAAGAACTTCAACATAGACTACTGAAAGCACGTTGTAAGGTAATTTAGCCTATTGTAAGTTGGTGAGCTTCATTTACTGAAGGAACTGCACAACTTTTCATTACTAATTGGTACATATTTTACGTTTCCATTGTTTATTGGCAGTAAATGGTAAATATTTTTCATGTCTGAAGCTAAAAGTTGCTCCTCGCCCTTCCCATCATGCACGGGTTCAACCTAACAAAACTATTACGCATGTATAGGACGACCCCCAATTTTTTGCCTAAAAATTTGGTCTTAAAAACTCGAACTATACACGAGTATATATGGTACTGTAGTTCCTTACCTAACAGTTAAATACTCAATTAGTAAGTACTGTACACTTGTACACTAGGCTAATTCCTTAGCCATCAAGTAGTTCCATAGTGAACAAGTAGTTCCTTTACCAGCATGTAATTTTTCATATAGCAAGAAGTTCCACACACACATGGAATTTCCTCATGCCTTATGTAGGAAACTCAATATCCACAAGGCTGCAAATATTTAACAGTAATGTCATGTTATACATTAATTTTAACTGAAAACTTTAGAATAACCTTAGTAAAATACCTACAATGAACTTTTACTATCAGAACAACAAAGAAAACAGTAAATAAAGAGCAATACAGTACTGTACTGTACTTATACTGATGTTAGAAACTCATTTGCCAAAATTTCTTTCTTATTTAGATTTTCCATCATGAATGAAGGTCGTCAGTATTCAGCACTGTGGCCCATCCTGTGCACAAACCGTGAAGGGGACGTAACAGAGGTCCATTACAACAACCGGACAATGAAGCCCCTTCAGGCACCCACACATGTTGTCACACCATTCTACCATGCATACAAGGTAAGAGAATGGTCCAAATTCAGGTAGAAGTTATATAAATGCTGTACAGGATTTGAGTAACTGAAAAATGTGGTAATTTCCTTTGTGTCCAGTGTATGTTGGGTGCATAGGTGATATTATATTTAATTGCTTACAAAAATATATCACAGATACTCTATGTTCAGTGCTATTGCAGGTACTTTAAAAATAATAATCAGGTATATTAGAGTCCGGGTAAAATCTTAAACATAAACTTTTAAGAAATGGTTAAAGTAATTCATGGGAAATTGTTTGACCTTTATAGTTAAATAATGACTTCCTGTAGTACACCACTGAAATGACCTTGTACGTGAAGATCTGGATAGTGCAGTGATTGTTTACAGTAAGTTACAAAGCTGCTAATTATGAGAATGTAAAACTAGTCATTAGAATAAAAATACATAATATATACAGTACAGGTGATATCAGTATTAAAGATCTTACATTTCAGTTAATAAATAATCTGTTTTGACTTTATGGGTTGGTCCTTACAGAAGAAATCCTGTTAATTATTTGCCTGACATAATAGATGAGTATAATTTTAGATAAGAAGTAATGTAGAAGTAATATACAGTACGTGATTCTGGATGACTGGTGATGGTTTTCTTCAGTTGTTCTCAGACAAGCTGCGTGACCCAGCATCATGTCTGGAGTTTAACATGGTTCCAGGTGATCTTGTGGCCTTCAACAATCGACGAGTTCTTCATGGTCGAACTGCTTTTGATGCCACCAAGGTTGACAGGTGTGGGAATTTGTTTCAGTAATTCTACTTAAATATATATATATTTTTTTTAAACTTAAACCCATTCGGACAGGTGGTCTGTTCTCTGTTACTCTGTTTTGAACTTTATTGCCCAGTGTTTATACAAGGGGAAACTGGAGTACCAGAAGAAAACCTATGATGTTTGTTAAGGGTCTCACTGGATAACACCCTTCCCACATATGTCCCGGGCCAGGATTTGAACCCATGGCATAATGGTGAAAGACATAAGTGTTACTGCTGAAACACCAACTACAGAACACAAGACCTTCCAGGCCACCCTATCTTTATATACAGTAGTTCTACAGTATTGTCCTCTTTCAAAAAAGTTATCTCCTTTAAAAATCATTGTTTCGAGAAAAAACACATACTGTACTGTACTGTAAATCTAATTACTGTAATGGAATTTTAAAGGTGATGACAATTTAGAATATGAAAATTGAGTATACTGTAGTAGTAAAAGGGTTTATGTCACTGTTAAGTGATAAACATACTGTATTAGCTTATAGAAGTACAGGGATTTCTCATAATAACTTACATGTTTTAACACTTTTTCTTTACATTTGATCTCCCCTGTATTATTGCATTTGGTTTCCCTCTTGTACTGTATTACACCTGGTCTCCCTGTAGCATTACATTAGTTTGGTTTTGCAGTACTCTTCCATACTGCCTTTCTGTTCTATTACATTTGGTCTGCTAGTAGCTCTTCACTTGGCCTCTCCTGTGCTACACATTTTTATCTCATTGGTGTGGAGTAGTTCCATCACATTTACAAGAAACTGCAATGAATCAGTTTAACCTTAATTTACTTTGAGAGAAAACAAGTGAAGCTAGACTATCACTGCCTGAGTGCATCAAAAATTTTAATTTTGTCAAGTTGATTTATCAATGAATCATCCATCTCCATTTATGTTTCCACTTTCATATTCTATCATTATTCCTTTATTTTGACATATTATACATAATAAAAAATTTTATGGTTTGTTCATCCAATTCACAGCTACGTACTTTCTACCAATCTTGAACGGTTTCATTACAGTATAAATCTTTTTCACTCCAATCACTTCACTTATGTTCTCAAAGTCCATACCATCTCAGTACAGTATATGCAACATCTATACATCTTTCTGTGGACCTGGTTATGCCTTACACACTTTCAGTCTTGACCTGATCAGTTGTCTTGTTTTCTATTATATTATGCTGGTGAGTTATGAATTTCAACTCTTCTTATATGTAACTCATTAGTACATGACAAGTTTACATCTTTATAAACACACCAGTTGTCATAATATTGAGCCCTTATTATTTATATTACATACCAATAAATATTCTAATTTCTTCTTTATTTCAACAGGCATCTACAAGGTTGTTATGTCGATATTGATGAAGCTTTCTCCAAATACGACAGCTTGCGGGCTAAGTAAGTTAGATCCATTTTTTGGAAGTACTGTACTGTATAACTTAAGACAAAATTGGTAAGTGGCAGAATAACTTTTTCTTTTCACTTTTCCTACCGCTGCCTCATTGGTATTAGAAAAATACTACAGTAAAGAAGATATTCTAAAGAATTTAATATTGTTATTTCACTATTCATTTACAGAAATCAAGATCTAAAACTTATATAATAGCCCGCCATTTGTCTTATAAGTACATTTGGTATATACTGATTAAGGAATACAAATTTTTTAACATTGAGATACAGTGGCCCCTCGGTTAACGAACTCAATCCGTTCCAGAAGGTCGTTCGTTAACCGAAACGTTCGTTAACCGAAACCATTGTTTCAATGGGTTTTTGGGTAATTGGTTCCAGCTCACCGAAAATTTCCTAAATTCAACAAAAATGGTAGAAAAGTTCACTTACTTTGAGGTGTGTATGTAGAAGGCTCCTGGATGATGATGATGATGATGGGATTTAGAATGGGGGTGGAGGAGAAGGAAGAAGAGAAGGCATTGGGGTGGAAGAGAAGTCACCCCATGGTGCCATTTCACCCATAAAATTTTAGCTCTCTGGTTTAATTCAAGATTATTTTCTTTAAATCAACGCTGCACTGCATTATATATTGTCAATATATAAAATATATTTCAAAATGACCAATAATTTGCTTGGAAACACAGAAAAAAAGCGTTTAGTTGAAGAGAGTCTCAAGCAAGATGTTACCTCCAGTGAAAACAGAGAGAGACTGACGCCTGTTTGCTGTGTTAAGAGGCTGGATGCCGCGCATTAAACTAGTCACTTTACCTTCAATTTTGTTCAATAATTGTTAAAATGACTAAAAAATTGAATATTAAACTTTTAAAATTATTGAATAGTATAAACTTCTTGATATTTACAAAAATAGTAAGGAATTTAAGCCCTAGAACCGATTAATGTATTGGCGGACTGATACTAAAGCTGGTTGCCCGGTCAGTGCAAGCGAAAACATGTTGAGGTCGGTTCGTAAGAAGTTCGTTAAGCGAATTTTTTTTCGTTAACCGAATTGAAGATCCTTATGGAAGGCAGTTCGTTAATCGAAATTACGTTAACCGAGGTGTTCGTTAAACGAGGGGTCACTGTATAGAACAGAAGATGAATTTTGTTTCTCCTTACCCAAAACAATACAGGAATAATATACAGTACTGTTGTACAGTACTGGTAAGCTATGAGCCCTGGGCTGCTGCCCCGTCTGCCCTCGTCTTAATTCAGCTGTGGATAACAACTGTACTTAACTACCATACATAATCTATTACAGGTGAAATGAAAGAAGCCATTACAATATGTATACATTATTCTCTTAATCACTGTATAGTAATTATGCCCTTCCTAAATGATATAAGAGTACCATAGAATTGCAATTTCTCCATTTTATGAAGAATCAATTTAACAGAATGAATTTGGTTCCAATCCATTTTGTTAAAATGGAATTTTGCTGTACTGTATGTAGTATTATTGAAATTTTAGTTATTGGAAGAGAGAGTAAATCAGGTCAGAACTTATGATTATCAGGTGTAATGTGATATAGTATCTTACCAATACTGTACACTGTCTATTAGGATGATGCTTTACTGAATGTAGAAGGTAATACAGGTACTGACATTAATATATTCATTGTAAACAAACATGTGGTAAATGAGAATTGGTTTGGTTGTTAGAAAAGATTCAGTGTCAATTATACTTTACTAAAGCTTATGTGGATTCATGAGGTCTGTGATAAAGTCTTAAGCAGTTACCGTAGCTTATTAAGACTAAACTACTCAGGGTAAATTTACACAAAGTACAGTATTATATATTCTTGTAAGTTAACAGTACAGTACAGTACATGTATATACAGTAAATCCCATTGAGGAATAATATGCGATTCTCTTGGGTTCAAAACCGACCTATTCTCTGCTCCAATTTAAAATGCCACCTAATGGTAATTCCAACATATTTGTCCTTTCCTACAAGCAAATTATTGAGACATTGGTATGTTTTTCATATGTTTCAGGAAGTGATCTGCCCAGCCAAGAAGTTTCTCCTCAAGTCCTCGTCAAGTGGAAAGATCTCAGCCATTTTATCACCCCACATCCATTAAATATGACATTAACTTCAAAATGGAACAATATACAATTGAAGTAATCAAAACAAAGCACAGTATATATTCAGATAAAAATTAAAACTGAACAGATACACAGATTCCATTTTTTAGTTTTTGCCACTAAATAAACTGAGGTCATATCTGCTTGATGTCTGTCTGTTTATTCTGTGTATTTAGACGAAGAAAGATTATAATTAATAAGTTCAGATTCATAAAGGAGAAAACCACTGGATATAATTATACAGTACTACTGTATTTAAAATCTAAACTAAGTGTCATCATTTTATATATATATATATATATATATATATATATATATATATATATATATATATATATATATATATATATATATATATATATATATATATATATATATATATATATATATATATATATATATATATATATATATATATATATATATATATATATATATATATATATATATATATATATATATATATATATATATATATATATATATATATATATATATATATATATATATATATACAATTTACCCGCCTAACGGTTTCACTTAACGCGTTTTACATATACGCGGTGCCTTGCCAAAGCTGAACTTTCACTTAACGCGGATTTTTTCCACATATACGCGGTGAGTGTCCGAGACGCTATTTTTAGATTTGCCCCACCCGCCACCCTGCCTGACTGCCTGTTTTAGCTCATAAAATTCATACAAATTACCAGGCCAGAATATAATTTACATTGCTGGAATTCTTATAATTTGGTGATCATTTTGAATATAAACATCATATATTTTGCTTTAAACTTACAATTTTTAGATAAAAATTTTTCTCTAGGTAACTATGGTATCTTTTGTGCAAAATATATGACATTTATATTCAAAATATTCCTGGTCTTACAAGGAATCCAGCAATGTCAATTATATTATCCTAACTTTAGTTTGAGGTATTATTTATTAAAATTTAGTGGTTATCCCACACATCTCCTTGGGACGGTTGGTGGGGGGTGGGGGGGAGGGAGGGACCAACCGACCATCTGTTACCCTGTGAAGAATTATTATTTTTTTTTATTAACTGAAGATATTTGTTTTAGCTCATAAAATTCATACAAATTACCCGGTCAGAATATAATTTACATTGCTGGAATTCTTATAATTTGGTGATCATTTTGAATATAAACATCATATATTTTGCTTTAAACTTACAATTTTTAGATAAAAATTTTTCTCTAGGTAACTATGGTATCTTTTGTGCAAAATATATGACATTTATATTCAAAATATTCCTGGTCTTACAAGGAATCCAGCAATGTCAATTATATTATCCTAACTTTAATCTGAGGTATTATTTAATACTAAATGTTAAAAACTCTGGAAGGGAGGATTGGTGGGGGGTGGGGGGGAGGGTTGGGACTGACCGCGCGGTTGGAAGAGGGGGGGAGGCAAGGTGGGGTACTTTGATTGACAGATAGTGTCGTGAAGATTATTTTTTTTTTATTAACTGAAGATATTTGTTTTAGCTCATAAAATTCATACAAATTACCCGGTCAGAATATAATTTACATTGCTGGAATTCTTATAATTTGGTGATCATTTTGAATATAAACATCATATATTTTGCTTTAAACTTACAATTTTTAGATAAAAATTTTTCTCTAGGTAACTATGTTATCTTTTGTGCAAAATATATGACATTTATATTCAAAATATTCCTGGTCTTACAAGGAATCCAGCAATGTCAATTATATTTTCCTAACTTTAGTTTGAGGTTATCCCACACATCTCCTTGGGACGGTTGGTGGGGGGTGGGGGGGGGAGGGAGGGACCGACCGACCATCTGTTAGCCGGCTGTGTAGTGTGAGAGGGGGAGGGAGTTGAGTCCATTATTTGAATGGACATTAACTTGGCGACTGTATTTCTCTATTTCTCTTAAGTATTAATTGTGTGCATGTACCATCATAAAATTAAGATGTTATTTTTACTACAACATAGGTATGTGCCTTCAAAAAGTGGAGTTTGGGGGTCGGGCCGGTTTCTATTGGAATTAATCCCATATGTTCTGTTGTTCACTTAACGCGGATTTCACTTAACGCGGGACCCTCTGGGTTCAATTGACCACGTTAAGTGGGGTACAACGTATATATATATATATATATACACCCCGTACAGTGGAGTCTGCATTTACGCGGTCAATTGAACCCGTGGAGGCCCGTGTAAAACGAGAAATGCGTAAATGAAATAACAGAACATATGGGATTAATTGAAATAAGAGACTGGGCCGACCCCCCAAACTCCACTTTTTCTGACACAATACATACCTTGTATTCAAAATAACATCTTAATTTTATGATGGTATGCACACACAATTAATAATTAAGAGAAATATCAATAATATAGGGTTTTTTAACACTAACGTTAGTAGAAAAGATGGCTGGGCACACGGGGATGGGAGGTTGGTTCCGAGGCAGAGGGCAGATTATTGGCCCTCACCTGTATCACTTGTATCAATTGTATCACTATCCACCACAGAGGCTTGCAGGGCCTCTTTGTCAAACCCCTCAAAGTCCATATCCTCACTATCTCTATCACTGACTTGGGCTGGCTGTGGTGGGTGGCAGGTGAAGAACTCGGTAATGTTTTGATGACTGGGCGACCTTGTGTGCACCCTGCCCGCGCTGCTTCCCGCGTAAATGACCAAATTTACCGCATAATTAAAGCATTTCATTCTGGCAAGGCACCGCGTAAATGACCAAACGCGTAAATGCAGACTCCAATATATATATATATATATATATATATATATATATATATATATATATATATATATATATATATATATATATATATATATATATATATATATATATATATATATATATATATATATATATATACTGATAACCACAAGGAAAGAAGAAAACACGAAGTTCCCAAGCGCTTTCGTGTAATTCACATCTTCAGGGGTGGGTACAGACTAAGGAGCAGTACAAAACAAGGTGTATATATACAGAGGAGGGTGAGATCAGGTCCACAATGGTCAGGTATTAGGTAATGACCCTACTAATCTTTAAATAGCACCGCAACAGTCGGTAGTCAGGTCAGAGGGTAAGGTGACCCAACCTTCTCATCTGGTTACAAATCTTCTTAATTACAAAATTGTCCAGTTTGTACATGCCATTACTCAAATTCACGTTGAATGCTTCGGTATGTTTAATGAGACTAGATTCTACGATGTTCCTACTGTCAATTGAATTACAAGGTAATATTGAGGAGGCATTATCCCAGTCAATGCAATGCTTATTATCCCTAAATGAACAAACAGAGCATTGGATTCCTGGCCTGTCCTAACACTATATTTATGTTGTTTAAGTCTAGTTACAAGATCTTTACCTGTCTGGCCTAAGTAAAACATATTACATTCCTTGCAAGGAACTTTATAAATGCAACCAATTGTGTTGTTGGGGGAGTTCTCGATTATCATTTGTTTAACAGTGCATGAGTTTTTAAATGCCACATTGACGTTCCAGGTTTTTAGTTGTAAAGGAATTTGAGAGAAATTTTTGTGAAATGGTAATACTTAGAGATTCTTATGGTCATGGGTGGGCTTGGGATTAGTTCTATATAAAGATTTCTTAGTAATGTTCAGGCATTTGTCTATGAAAGACCTAGGGTATTTAAGGTTTGAGCCAATATTATAGATATATTTATATTCCTCATCAATGAATTCCGGGCTGCAAATTCTCAAAGCACGTAAAAACATTGTTGAAAATACTGACTGTTTGACTCTATTATGGTGGGCAGAATAATAATTAATGTATGAACACACATTAGTAGGTTTTCTATAAATACTGAACTTAAAAGTGTTACCTATTCTGTGTATCAGACAGTCTAGGAATGGCAATTTACAGTCATGCTCTAATTCCACAGTGAATTTGATCGAGGGAGCTAAGTTGTTAAGTTGTGGCAGGAAAGTTTTTAGGTCCTCATTACATGGCCAGAGACATAATACATCATCAACACATCTAAACCAGACTGCTGAAGGTGGTAAAATATTACTTAATAGTTTCTTTTTAAAGAATTCCATATATAGGTTGCTTAATACAGGTGAGTGGATTACCCATTGACAATGGGTAATCCACTCTCACCCGTATTAAGTGGTGAGGCGGTGAGCTGTAACTGTGTTGCAGACTCGCCAGCCAGGCAGCTCATCAGTGCTTCCTCTCCCAATGTGACGTCAAGGCACACACACGTTTCTAAGTCAGCTGGGTGACTGCTCGACTGAACTGTGTCGCGTCAGCCAGAATGGTTTGAGTATGGAAGGAGCTATTTTGGGGGGGGGTGGGGGGGGCATAAAACATGTGCTATTGTTAATTTATGATATTCTATGGATCAATTTTATTGCTTATTATAGCAATTTTTGTATATTTTTTATTTAAGGAATTTGAAATTTCTTAGTACAGTATTAAGGTCACGTTTTGCTCACTAAATCATATAACAATAAACCAAATCGTTCATATAGAAGTTTGGTGTTCATAAATCAACTGTTTAACTTTAAAACCGTCCGTAACAAACTTGTTTATTATTATTATTAGGGAGAGTATGCATACTCAGTGTTTACCACCCTCCGTGCTTTGCTGTCATCCCTCGTTTAGTGATAATTTTGCTTACAGTTAGGTTTTTCAGGAACACAACCCTATCGTTAAACGGTGGATACCTATACAGTACTGCATTGCACAAGAATCATGATTTTTTAATATATTAGTGGTGTGCTATATTATTATGTATAATACAACTATGGAAAAAATTTAATTGCCATGAAAGATATTTAATAATATTTTGCCTTTTGTATGATTATCTGATCAGTATTGATTTTGTATAAAGATTATTATCCAAGCAAATTTAATGTAAAGTTTTCATGAGATACTGCAAGTATAGCTTGACAGTCATATCAGTTTTATTGCTCTATTTGTTATCACAGTACAGTACATTAATATTTTATAATTGATCTTCTTTCAAAGACATTTTGAAAGGTTATTTTCCTTATCAGTATCATTTACTCTAGATTAAAAATTCACAAAATGCAAAATATTGTCATCAAGACCATCCTCTCTGACCATCTTCTTCACTCATAAACCATCGCAGCTTTTTCCAGCTTCAATTTTTTCCAGATTTTCTGACAGTTTTGCATGTTTAGTTTGTATGATTTTTATTAATTTTGTTTTCCTTCTCTCCATAGATTCCAGCACAAAATGTGATGTGATGATGGAAGAGAAGGTTGTGTAGCCTGAAGCATAGCTACAAAGTGATGGTGGACTTCAATGGCACTTGCTAGTTGATATACCCTCAAAAGTTCTCATAGCAGGTAAATGCTTTGATTATATAAAATTAACATTTATTTATCTATTATTATTAATCTTCTATCATTTCTGTGTGGAGTGGATCATTTAAGATGCATAAACCTTTAAAATGTGGAAGACAAAAGTATAAAATTAAACAGAATGGCATGAAGCATCAAAATGAAAGTACTGTACACCCACAAAAACACACCATTTCATATCCTCATCTAGGATATACTACATTACCTTCACATGTATTTGCAATACTTCATATCAATTCTCTATAAATTGTATAAGTATTTGTCAGGTACGTCTAAGCTAACACAAAAATATAATTTTCAATCAGATAAGTTTTCGCCATAGGTCACATATTTATTCCATTGTCAAACATAGATGTGATGAATACTTTCATTATGTCACTGCATTAGATCACTGCTGAAATGATCCGTTTAGGTACATGATCAATGCAGTGATTGGAGGATTTGAATTGAAATACAGTATATAAATAGAACAGGTCATACATACTGTATACATGGTTATTCCAATGATGGCAAAGACTCTTGGTTCTACATCATGTCAAATGAAATAATTGTATAGTACAGTATTTAAAAAATTAAATGTTAAGTCTGATTTCATTTAAATAGTGCAAAGGCTAACCCATGCAAACGTGGAAAATGGCTGTAAAATGGTGATGATGATAATTGTTAGTGCCATATTTAAGTCTTTCAGAGATTCTAAGGATTTCTAAATAAAATACAGATGGACCTCCGAGACCCTGAGTTCTGAAGTTTTAAAACTCTACAATTCAAATGATTTATGGTCAAGACACAAGACCTTAAATTTCAATACTCATATCCTCCAAAATTCGGTAATTTCTTTATGTAAATATCATAAGACAGTAAATCAAATATACAGTACAGTGCACTCATCTTTCATTTTGCTTATTTTTATAATTTTTTGTACATTGTTTATTTGAAGTTAAATGTTGCATGTATTCATGTTATACTGTACTTACCGGTATATTTTATACACTTTATACATAACTTGTTTGCTTAATTCAATTTGAAAAAAAAAATAATTAAATTATTAAAAAAAAATGGAAAGGGTCGTCACAAGTCGATCTGAATTTTAGAAGTCTTTGCTCTAATTAGAATGTTTACCAAGGACTCCATGACTCATTTGTTAGCATCCTGGACTCCTGACCCTTGATACAAGGGTTCAGTTGTGTGATTAGACAGGGTTGTTATTAATCCTGTTATGGTAGGTTCCACCAGTCACATCACTGTCTCACCATGGGGTAAAGACCCCACAAATGGCAAACAGGATGTTAGTTTTATACTTAATAGCTATGTAGTACAGTCCATTCTCCTATAACGCGTTATATAAAAATTGAATTGTAATAGCGCAATAGAAAACATAAAGGTGAAGGAGGGTGGGGAACAAAAATTATGAAATAATTCTTAGTGGATTATGACTCTCTTAAATGCTTTTAATGATAAAACCTTTTTAAGTTAAAACTTTTTGACCATAAGAAATGAAAAGAAACTTATAAAACATTTTAAGACTCAACACAAGAAAAGAAGGTTGAGAATAGTAGTGGAATCAGTCTGACGACGGAGTTTTTGTTCAAAAGTAATGGCTTTGCTTTTATCTCATTTCACTTTCACTACCAGAATGCTTCACACCCTTGCCACTCATCAAAATTAGTAGCAATAAAGTTGATGGAAAGGTAAAGTACATCTGCAATAACAACTGTGATGCATATGGAAGATAAACAAAGACTGAAGTGCATGGGCAGTATCCCGAGGCAGCTGTGTAACCACTTATTCCTACACAGCTACATTTACTCGATCGATACAGGAATACCCCGCTTTTCACAACTCTGTTTATTCGGAAATATCTGTATAATTTTAATACCCCTATTCGATATTCGCAAAGTGAACCCCACTTATTCGCAAAGAAAAATTACAACACACTCCAATAATATTTCAATCCATGCGGGCTAGTCGTAGCTCCTATATTCTGCTCAAGCTGTGTGAGTACAGCGATTAGTGATGTGTTTTTGTTGTGTATTCATATGCAGGGCCACGAGAGCATCTGTTTTGATCTATTGCATTGTGTGGTAGTGTACTGTATTGCAAGAATTATTCGTAATACCTCCCAAGCGCCTATCTTCCGCTTCTGCTGCGAAGAGGCCTCGTGTGTCTGTGACCTTGGATGTTAAATTAGACAACATAAAGCATCATGGGAAAGGTGAGGGCATGAGTCAAATTGGACGTGTGCCAGGGTTAGCCCATTTGACCATGCATTCCATTGTGAAAAGTGCTCCTAAAATTAAGGAGATGGCTCGATCTGCCTTGCCCGAGTGTACCTGTACAGTATGTCAAAAGCTGTGGTGAAAGTTGCTGGCTGGGAATGCATTCCCCCTATTTATATTAACTATTATGGGGAAAATTGCCCTAATATTCATAAACTTGTTATTTGCAATTACCTCTAAGAATGCATCCTTTGAGTTAACCAGGTTATTCCTGTATGTAATTCACATCTGCGTTGTAAAAAATGGTTTCGCGAATACATTCATTGCATTATTCCTAAACCACGTTATAAAAACACGCGTTATAGGAGAACAGACTTATACTGTATGTATATATTTATTATACTGAAGCATATCAAATGCTCATGTAATCATTTTATACAAAGTAAATGGTACATTACTCATTTATGTATAAAAAAAATAATCTTAAGGGAGAGATATCTAGTTTTTACATTTAAAAAATCCTTTAACATTCTGTATTGTGAAAAAAAAAAAATCAAGACATTGTCATTGAGACAGTGTTTCTTTCAAACACTACTAGTTAAACACTTGTTATTTGGTAACATGAGCACCAATAAATTCTCAGCTTAAATTTGTCTTATAGTTAATGACAGAACTTAAGAGAACTTTTACAAGATTTAAAAGTGACCTCTTAAGATTTTTTACTATGTAATACAGTATAAATCATAATAAGTGTGAATGATGGTATGAAGAGTATAAATATTCAACACAGGAAGATAAAGAGATACCAAAATGAACCAATGCAATTGTAATATTCCTAAGTCTACTGTATGAATAAATTTTATATATTTATTATTTTATAAGGTTTGCAGATAATTGGAGAGACTAAATGTTAAGCGTTTAGTGTAAGGAACTTCATAAATATCTCTACTGTACAAACAGTCCCCGAGTTATGACCGTCCGCTTTACAATTATCCGCATTTACGAACAGGGGGAACCCAATACATTCATCGCAAAAATTTGTAATCAAAATCCCATTTTTTACATTATTTTCATTATTGTATATTGTTTAATATCACTTTATTTACAGTATTTACATTATTTGTTATGTAAGGGATATTACTGGTTTTTTGTATGGGCAGGGTTGTGCTTTAACCGAGCTAAAACTATAGAATTAACATTATTCTGACTTGCGAACAAATCGACTTACGATCAGGGTCCAGGAACGTATCCCTGTCGTATGCCGGGGACTGCTTGTACAGGTACAGTACGCCCGGATAATACGGAGATTTTTATTTTGCGGTCCTCTATTATTTGCGGATGACACCCTGGATGTACTCAAGAATGTCTAAGGGTAGTTTTAAAGTTGCTGGCATTTTCGCGGCCATGACAGGGAGCTATTCGTTCTAGAGACAGTAATTTCCTATACCTGTATTGTATATATGTGTGAGTGTGTGTGTGTAGATACACACACACACGCACAAAACACATGCAAATAAATAATAATGGGAGAATCCTCTTACAAATAATCAGCAATTTTTTTATTAAAATGTGAAGTTTAACCTCAAGTCCACTCCGTGCTTTATTAATAACAAAGCACAGAGTGGGTTTGAGGGTATTCGACTTTTTTATTTAAATTTTTTTTTATTAATTATTTGTGAGAGGATTTTCCCATTATTATTTATTTGTATGTGTTTAGTGTGTGTGTGTGTCTACACACACACACATGTATACAATACAGGTAAAAGAAATAATTGTCCTAAGGGTAAACACATTAAGTGAATATACAGTACATTTCTTTGTACACAAGTAAAAATTTACCCTCCCCCCCGTCGGCAAATGTTATTCGCGGTCATTTTGAGAACCTAACCCACGCAAATTTGAAGGGCAAGCTGTATTTGCATACTGTATTTGTATAATAACCCATGAACAGAAAATACAGTATGTTAATAGTGAAGCCTCTTAAGAGAATTGGGTGCATATCCCACTGGATCTGATATTAAATTGTACAAGGCTTTGCAGAAGTCCTTACAATACAATCATTATAATGGGATTAATTAATTTTTTGTAAGATTACCTGCAAAAGTATGTACCATACTGTACACTATACAGCAAACTGAGCTGTCCTAAAAACTTCCCAGGACTGGAAAAGTGAGAATCTTATTACCCTATACAGTTCATTTTTAGTTTAAAATTTAAACTGATAAGTAATTAGAAAACACAAATTAAGATTTACTATTACTGTATATGATAAAACAAGATTTTTAAGTGTGACTAACATTTGTATTTGATTAAAAATTAAATCTTGGCAATATGTAACTTTGTTTTATTCCTCAGCACCATATACATTTTTTTTTTCAAAAGAATTTACATTGTGAAATCCATTGATTAATATTTACGACATTATGTCATCTGAACTTGGGTTCAGATGACATAATAACATCCTATTTTTATGAAGTACTGTACAGTACCTTGGAATTGAAATCGTTCTGTATACAGACCAGGTAAAACAATTTTCCTAAATATTGTGATTGGGTAAGGTAGTGTACCCTTAGAATTAAAGTGAAATATTGTACTGTACACAATATTATGAATAACCTCTGAAAGTAAAAATAGGGATTTGTATTCTTCCTTCATTAACAAATATGTACAGGACTTTACATTATTGTCCAATTACAATACAGTACAGTACTGTATACAGTAGTATGTAATTGATTTGTATAAAATAATGTACATAAAAACTATAAAATATTACTGTACAAGTAAACAGTACCTCAGTTTAAGACAACTAGATACCCCTGTATATGATTTGACAACAGTAAATAATTTACACCTTTATTTTTATTTGTAATATTTTTAAAATATTTTATTTAAAATAAATCTTGGAAAACATGTTATTACCCTTTACTGTATATCTATTAGAAAATTTTCATTGAATATACTTCAGGCAAGCTAACTGGCTACAGCAGTCAGGAGAGTGATAACCAGGTGAAATGAGCAGTAGCAATAATCTTTTTGTGCATGCATATTATGCTCTACAGAGCCAGTGGTGCTCAACCTTTTTACATGAGTGGGCCACATTAGATGGGCAGCTGTGTGATGTAGCAAATGATATACTGTACACTTTAATAACATTGATTATTAAGTTTAACCTATGTATTATAAACTTAGAAATTAATCATAATTAGAGAGTGCCTTACAGAAATTACTGGGTTTATTACCAAAATAATCATAACTTTGTAATCGTGAAAAAATCATGTAGATTCCTAAGAAATAAAACAAAGGCTTTACTTATGGAACAGAAAACTTCAAATACTTAAGATTCATAGGAAATGTAACAAAGGCTTTATTCACTGAAGAGACATACATTCCACACTTTTAGTGCAATATTTACCACTGTATCATAATACAGTCGTATTAGTTTATATTAAAATTCTATAAAAAATGCAGTAATATTAATTATATTCTACCAGTTGCCGAGGGCAGCATTAAACCTTCCTGAGGGACGCACAGACAGTGAGTGGGTTGAGCACCTCTGTTCTATATTGTATACAGTAGTAGGATCAACAATATTTATATGGTCTTTACATATACAGTCTTTTACTCCGATTGAATTGGCCCTGAATAAGCATCGTACTTCTTTGGCAACACCGGGAAAAAGGTTAAGGTCAAAGGTCATCAATGAAGCATCCAAAATTACTGAGCAATTACAGTGGTCCCTCGGTTAATGAGCACAATTTGTTCCAGCAGGTTGCTCATTAACCGAAAAACTCGTTAACCGAAACCATTGTTTCAATGGGTTTTTGGGTAATTGGTTCCAGCTCACCGAAAATTGCCTAAATTCAACAAAAAAGGTAGAAAAGTACACTTACTTTAAGGTGTGTATGTAGAATGCTCCTGGATGATGATGATGATGGGGGTGGAGGAGAAGGGAGAAGAGAAGGCATTGGGGTGGAAGAGAAGTCACCCCATGCTGCTATTTCACCCATAAAATTTTAGTTCTCTTGGTGTAATTCAAGATTATTTTCTTTAAATCAACACTGCACTGCATTATATATTGTCAATATGTAAAATAAATTTCAAAATGACCAATAATTTGCTTGCAAACACAGAGAAAAAGCATTTAGTTGAAGAGAGTCTCAAGCAAGATGTTACCTCCACTGAAAATACAGAGAGACTGGCGCCTGTTTGGTGTGTTGCTAGGCTGGATGGCGCTCATGAAAATAGTTTCCTTACCTTCAATTATGTTCAATAAATGTTAAAATGACTAAAAAAAATAATATTTAACTTTTAAAATTATTGATTCGTATAAACTTCTTGATATTTACTAAAATAGTGAGGAATTTAAGCCCTAAAACCGATTACTGTATTGGCGGACTAATACTACAGCTGGTGGACCGCCAAATGCAAGCGAAAACATGTTGAGGTCGGCTCGTAAAAATTTCGTTAATCGAGGGATTGCTCATTAACCGAAGTTAAGAATCTTATGGAAGGTAACTTGTTAACCGAGACGCTCGTTAACCGAGGGATCACTGTATTACAAAATGTTGACAAATGAATATCAATTTTCTCCATTGAAACTGGCTGCAGGTATAATGTACTGAACCTGACTAGGTGGTACACTATTCCCATAAATCATTAACTTCCATTCCTGTGGATTCCATTTCCAAAGCATTCTACTGGCAGCCCTTGTGAATGTTGAGGGTTTCCTGTAATACCTTTATCTGTATGTTTTGAGCATAAAGGCCAGCATCCCAAAAATTTCAGAATAATCAATTGAACAGTTTCTGAGGTGCCCAACTTGAAAATATTTTTCTTCTTCTGGCTACAATATCTCCCCCATAATAATAAATTCAAAACTGACAAAATATTTCTTTGTGTAAATACAGTAATTTGTGTACCAATGGCCCTCATTCTTGAATATTTCAGAAAATGAATTTAATAGTTTTCAAGATACACCTGTATAGCTCTTCATTCCTATTACAGTATTAGTGTTACTACAACTTCTACCACTAGTACTACACTAAAAATACTGTAATACTGACTTTTACAAGAAATGTAAGTAAGTACAGTACTCTACTGAGTTGTGATTTGAAAAAATCATACCGGTCACTTGGTCACAATTTCCTTGATTATGTGGTTACGCTGGCGGTTGAGACTACATCTCTCCAGGGCCCGCAACACTCCTGTGATTGGGTCACTTAACTCTTTCCTTCTATACTCTTCTAAAATCTGTAATATTGTAAAGATGGCCAAGTGTTATTACACCAGGTAGATAATTATGGTTATAAAGCAAAAGACATATTTATGAAATCCCATTTCATGACGTATGACAGGAGACAAGAGGACCGATGATCACCTCCTTAAAATGTCATTAATAGGGGACTACCATTGTTTTTGAGGTATGCAATCTCAGCACGTAACACAAGAAGTGCGGTGGTTTTACGAAGTGTGTTAGCCGAATGCACGTATAGGAGTATTCACACCTATTCACCCCAAAAATATTTATCTCACTTATTCCACAAGTACAGGTTGTACCTCTCTAGTCCGGCATTCTGTGGTCCGGAAACTCCCGTGGTCCGGAACGATGTTAGTTTGCCCAATAGGTAGATAGGCAGCTATTTTTTTTTTTTTTAATTATTTGAATTATTATTACAGGAGTATTACATTTTCGCCCCTCAGGCTCCAATGTGGGTCAGTGACCTGTGTCCGGGTGGGCTAATCCCTGTAAAAAAAAAACCAACAAAGCCACAGGAAATTAAGGTTAGTTTACATCAGGCAGTTCGGCTTTCTCTCTCAGTTTGTCTATATAGAGTACAACATTTAACCCTTCAATATATATGAACAGTAAATAAGTGTTGCTTTCATATTCTTATGTAGAGAAATGACGATATGTTTTTCACATGTGCTCACTTACGCGCAGTCTCACTTTTCTTCTTTAGCATTAATGGTTTGCTACTTTTATTGCTCTATTTATTAACATTAAATAACATTACTTAAAACAACCATATTAATTTTTTACATTAATTTTACTACAGCTACAACCAAGGTCTTATTTTCTTGTTTTATATATAGAACCAGTCAGTCACTGGTTTTGTAATCAACGAAAACAGTGCTGTCTCATTTCTTCGTGTGTTTTAATATTCTACGTATTATTAATGAATTGTATTGCTCATTTTGCACACATAAACATTAATTCAATAAAAAAGACATTCAGTAATAAACAATAATGAATCTTTTGTACATATGAGAAATGACGCTGTTTACACGATTATGCACGTCGTCTGAACGTTGGCGGGCCGTTCAAACCCGTCGAAATTCGAGTTTCCGCCGTCGAAATTTTAAATTATGTAGTGTTTTTTTTGTGTCCAAATAAAAAACGTTGAATTATAAACTCGCGAAATTTGAGAAGCTACTGTACGACATTTAACCCTTCAATATGTCTTCAAAGAGACCACGAAGCAGTGAAAGTGGTGCTAACATAAGCGCAAGTCACTATCTGTCCAGGAAAAGGGTGAATTTCCATGGTCCGGCACCGGTCAGGTCCCGAGGTTGCCAGACTAGAGAGGTACAACCTGTATTTGGTACCATTGGATTTATTGGAAATTTTATATTAAAAATATATTAATAGTTTTTGAATAGCAATGTACAGTACTTACAAAATAATCCATTGTTTTTATGCTAAATAATAGCATAATTTAGTTAAGAAATAGCTAAAAAAATCTGAAAATTTTGATAAAAATTATGCGATAATGATGTGCTGAATGAGAGCATGTCAGACTGCACACATAGCATTATATTCACACCCTCTCACATGCACCCACGATGCATGATTCGAATTGTACCCCTAAAAATATAGCTAAAACTAGTATCCTTTTGCCCCATCTGCTCATTTATTGGTTGGCTTAGGCAATGTCGTATGACATATGCAGGCGGGCCGTTTGAAATAAAGAGTCGTCAATATCAACGCTCATCCTTGAAGCATGATTTGCATCTCTTAAACAGATGCACCGCACTTCGTGGGTTAAACCAATTCAAACGTTTTAAACTGCTGTTTACTCAGTCAAACCATGGTTGGTGAACCGGGCTCTGATCCTGGCTCTGGTGCTGCTTCAAAAAGTCAGTGAATCAATAAGTACAGTACCCTGGGATAAACCCTGAATTGGGGTTCATTACTGGAATTCTTCAGTCATTAATTTGAGAATAAAATCTCACATTTTCCTGTAGATAAGGATACCCAGCAAAGGAGGTGAAAAAAATTCATGGTCACTTATTTTCTCTCCTTGGCCATGATATGGGATTTCATAATTCATTCTTTCATTTTGTGGCAAAAGAATCATTTATCAAATAAGCTAGTTTATAAAAATGAAAATCTGTCAGATATTTCATAATGAAAAGATAGGAACAGCATTGCTCCTGAACAATAAAATGATGAATGCAGTTTAGATAACCCAAGGAAGAAAGGAATATGACCATAAAACAGTAATAATGATGACTACATTAGTTAGCAGGATTAAGTATCTTTGTGCAATTTCTTAATCTATTAAGAGAACACTGGTATGGTCTAAAAATTGTAATCATACAAAAATTTATTTCTATAAAGGAACAAAGCATAATATATAATGCACTATAATAGCATTACTGTTTTGGTCTTACAGGCAATCTACTCATAGCACAACTATGCTCACTAAGCTAAACAGCAACATCTTGCTATCTTGCTCGCTACTTCTCACAAACTCGCAATCAATTCCAGTACAATTTCTTAAGGATGGAGCTCAAAGCCACCTTTGACTTCAAGCACATGAAGTGGGAGACCTTGTTACTGTACTACAAACACTAGAGGATAACCCCCTCCCCCCTTGTTAAAAAAAAGTTAGCCTGGATGGAACTGAATGCAATATGCCCCAATGGGTCAGGGCAAGGCAGGGGCTGAATAAATTTACTGGTAGTTTCAACCACCTCCTGCTCCTTATACAGGTTACAACTAACAAAGGCCAGCAGTAGGAAGTCGAGATTAATAGAAATAATGGACTACAATATTTTTCTGGGATTGTTCAAACTGTTAATGTTGGGACTGCAATCATTCATGGGATCACTGTACCTGTACATACAGTGTTATGGTCACAATTGCACAGCTAGTATGTTCATCACTTACTAATACCTAATTATGATTACCTGCCTCATGCCACCTATCATTACATTTACTGCTTTTCTTAAAAAGAAAAGAAAAAGAAACAGCCCGTTTGGTGAAAAGAAGTGGCCATCTATATAATCCCTATTCATTTCATCCTTAATAGCAATTTCAAATTACACACAATCATGGACCAACAAAGGCTTTCAGTATCAGTACAGTACAGTACAGTACAGTACTTGCACAGTACAGTACAGTAGTCTGATATAATTTAATACATGCATTTCTATATTTGGTTCTTACCTGATAAATTTTATCCTTTTGTCGTATGGACTGTTCACGAAAGAGTTCACTGACAAGATTAGTCAAGCCAAGAGAACGACCAAGATCTGCCCAGCGCCCTCTCAAGTTTTCACTTAAATACTCACACACTGCAAGGAAATATGGGTGTATAGTGATAAAATTGTTTTTGGATTTCAAGGACAAGGTACCGAGATAAGAGAAAAGTAAAGCACTGCTGTACTGGCAAAATATGATGAACAATATAAAGAAACCTGGAAAACATATTTATCATGAGCTAAAATAGGGGAAAAATGTAAAGAGTATGAACAAAATGAGAGAAGATATATATATAAACTGGTTACTGTAATTAATAGATAAAGTAGAATCTCGTCTTATTAACTTCTATGGACTCCCTAACATTCATTGTCTTGCTGTACCACTTTGATCCTTATTTTGTAAAATGGCTAAATGGCTCAGTGGGTTGCTCTCCACTTACTGTATGTACTGTAGGTAGTTTCCCTAATTCATATACCTGTATCCTGTACCTCTCACAAAAGTACCCAGGTGATGTGTTGCAACTTCTAGAAACTTAATTATATGAGTTCCAAACTGATTTCCCCATTGCTTTATCAAAAATAATTGCTCTAGTGAGGTTGTGTTTCATCTAAAGTTTTCACTTTCAAAGATGACTTACTTAAAAGGAACCATTTTCTTTGTTTTGAATGTACTGTACAGGTACAATATTGTACCTCTGTGCACAGAATTTTACATTTTGCTTCATATTTATAAAATTTTATGTAATCTTTTAATTACATATTACAGTATATACTACTATGGTAATATAATCATTATAGATGTTGATTTGGTGCTTCATACTGTTCATTGTTTGCAATCTCATCAGGTTTCTCATAAGTACAGATACAGTATAAAATTTTTACTATAGTATTGTATTGTAAGTGTATTTCACTTCTTTGGTTTGTTCTTGGCATATAATCATTGTGTACTGTACACAATTTTTTTTATTATAATTTTTTTTTTAGCATTTTATGGTATTTTAAGACACGCTGAGTTTTTTTTTAGGAACGTATCCCAGGTTTTATAACGAAAGTCAAAGTGAAAACATGCTTCAATTTATATAAATCTATTTATGAAAGGTTTTTCAGGAATGGAACTCTTGTAAATTGGAGTATACCTGTACAGTATAATGGTAATCATTATTATTATTTTATGGCCATTTCCCATGCCTGTGTGGGTTAGCCGAGATTACCTGCTGGCAGTTGTTGAATAAAACCAGAACTAGATGTAACCCCACCCCCCCTCCCAAGTTACACCACAACCCCTGGTCACCAGCCAAGAAAATGGAGTAGATACATGTTAAAGAGGTGATAGAGGGTTAAGAACCCAGGCTTGGTAGAAGACAAAAAATTGTTGTTTGAGGAACTTATACATGATTAAGCAAACTATAAGAGCCACCTGATAGACTTTATCCGGTGAGCATTTATTTGTACCATGCTGGGATAGTCTCCTGCAATGGCTGTGGAAACTCTCATAAATTTAAAACTGGACACTATACTCAAGTTGGTAAAATGGTGTACAAAGTATAAAATGTGGGCACTCAAAACTGCAGTTGGTAAACCTGTGATTGGCAAACAATTACTGTACTGTGTTCACATAAAATTTCATCAAAACCTTGTAATTATACAAGTGTCACACTTCAGATAAGGTGATAAAGTTTAACCTTATGACCTTGATCTTTGGATTAGAAACTTAACTTTGGTGTTACCTCAACAACCATCAGTTGAAGAAGATGCAATTATGCTCTCTATATACTGTATGTGACTGAAATTAAACTTACTCTTATCATAAACTGGGTGATGGGGCAATGGATCAGGATCTGTATTAGGATTGAACCTGAAACAATATGTTTCATCCTCATGGGCATTCAATGGCGGGAGGAAAAGTTTTTTGTACTGTTCTATACGTGCTCGTACCATCTCGGTATGGGGTCCAACTTGTTCTGCTAGCCATTGCAGAATGTCTACTCTGTCGGTAAAATGTAATTTTATCAATACATCACTGTAATATATCAAATTACAGGAAACATTGCAGTATTTTAAATATTCAGATTATAAGTTACTATAAATCAATCATTCACTTTGTGTCATGCAGAAAAATGTAAATTTTCATACAATGGAGAAGGGCATAATAAATAAAAATGGGTCCTGCAACCCTAATGACCCATTCGTGGCATCATTACACTCAACTGCCTTCACTTATCTTATTTTAAAGATAAGGACTAATTCACAGGTAAGTGGACCAGGGGTACCACAGGTGCAAACTAGCCATCCTTTGGAAAAGGTGAGTCCCACATCTGTCACACTTTGAAAAACTGCAACCATATTTTTCTACCCAACAGTTGTCATCTAACAACTGTGACTTCTAAGCACAATGAATCAACCTTTAACCATAATTTTCCTACGCAAAAAACTAAGGTGCAGTTGCCTCTCATTAATATGATTACAACATGGACAACAAGAACAACCCATCTTCAATGTCAGCTATTTTACAACATACCCAAGAGAGGAGGGAAGAGTAATTGACTCTTCTTGGCCAGTCTTAACTAACAAATGCAATTTCAGGTTAAATCTTTCCTTTATTACCCCATAGCCATTCTGGAGTAACCATGCAATTTGAAGCCAGTGTGACATTTAAGAAGATACAGAAAGAAAGTTGTAATTACTACATGACCTGCAACCCCCTCTGGCTAATGTTTCCAGGTCCAGTTTTTTGCATAATCTCTTTTTAAATAATGTACAATATATAATACTGATTAATGACCCAGCACCTGTTGTAATATGGTACTATACTAACAGACAAGTTCCAAAGTACGTATAATACAGTATACTGTGTACATTCTCAGAATTCCTGTTTACTTCATGCATCCCAGATATGCCAATTAAGAACTTGAACAAAAAGAAAAACTTGAGAATTACTTAAGAAATTAATCAAACTTCAGGCTTTGATCAACATGGCCCTTTCATGCACTACCAACACACTCTAATTCGACAAAGTGAATGGTGAGAATTACCATGACCCCAAGATAAGATGATGCCTTCAGGTATAAACTTCTAAGCTCCATTCTTGATAAAGTCATCTTGCTTAGGTATGATCCATCTATAAGGATTAAAATAAGATCTCAGCACTTTTTAAAGTCAAGACTCCTGACATCCTTTACTTAACCTGAACATTGTGGTGTTTGTGGTTAACACATCCTAGTCCAACCCAAACATTATCCTTTACTTCCAATACAGTACTGTATACTACCCAAACTATTTTTTTTATATCTATGCACTTACAGTACACTAAACACTGATAACTGTACAGTAACACAACTTACTTTTGTGGTGTCAGAAGCCTCCATCTTTCAAGAAGAACTAGAGCAGAAGATACGTCAGCACACCTGCTGATCTCTCTCATCCTTGGAAATTCCCCAACTGAGCTAGAAACTTCTAACAGAGCTATGCGCATTTGTGCCATCTGCTCAGGAGTCAACCTTAGCCATGTATTGCAGATCTCATCCTTAAGATCAATGTATGTCATCCTGAAGGAAGATAAAAACAAAACTTTAAAGTGACAGCCGTGTTGAAACTATATATTGTATATATGAGGAACAAAAATGATCAGAAGAGTGTGTACAGTTTTATTGGTCTACTGGAAGATTAGTGCTTTTCATATATTACAGTACAGTAGTCTAAGGATGCCCATACAATAGTCAATTCATGAAAGATGGCACAGAATTCAAAATCATATTTTGTTAAAGAGGGTCCAAAATAAAATAAAATTTGAGTTATATATCTGTATTAGGCAGGCCTATTGGCAAGAAACTGTTACCAGTTCCAGGTATAGGGAGATTACATGGTTATATAACTCATTATGATGTGATGTCTAGTAACATCACAAATACTAAATTTATAAACATTACACTGAACTTCCAGTGTGCTTGATGGTTGTCAACTTGGAAATATAAAAGCAAGAACATCATGCACTGATGGCTCAAAGTTTTTGCCTTTTGAGGAATAGTGTGCGACCATTCGCATGTAAGCATCACAAGGTACAGTCAAGTATCTGTCAGCCAAAAATCTACTTTACAAAATACTGTAGTCTACTGTATGTACAGTAGTTTACAAAAGATTTGAGCATTCTAAATTCCTATTCTATGGTTGCTAATGACTGGCCCCTGATGGGTCTTTGTGAAATCCCATATTCCTGGCTTTGTGTTGCTGACTCCTGGATCATAACTGATGTTAGGTCAAACATTAATTTGAACCCTTTCACTACAGGAATGACACCTTTAATAATACAGGTTGGACCTCGCTAATCTGGAAAGCTTGGGACCAGACTGGTTCCGGATTAGAGAAAATTCCAAACCATCAAAGTCGAGGCTCGGTTGTTGCACTGAAACAAACGAAGAGCGGATGACGACATTGAGCATGGATCAGGACGCCTTATTCTCACGTCCACAAAAAAGTAAAATTACACCATGACACTTCAGCAAAGTTGCTTTCATTGGTACCAGATATCAAAATAAGCATACTTTCTGTTTAATATGGCGAGTATCCGAAGGAGCGGTCAGGCTAGTTAGTTAGTAGGATTCTTTGGTTGGTTAGGTGAGGTTCTAAATTCGATTCTAGTAAATGTCACCTATTTTAAAATACTTACTATAATGATAAGAACATCCGTAGAAAAAAATAACAAATTTGAACACCTCTTTCTGGTGGTAGTGCTGTTCTAATATTACCACAAACAGAGCAGATGTCAATACACACCAACAACTGCAGACATTACCTAACGTTTATTACCACAAACAGAGCAGATGTCAATACACACCAACAACTGCAGACATTACCTAACGTTTATTACCACAAACAGAGCAGATGTCAATACACACCAACAACTGCAGACATTACCCAACGTTTGAGGGTTAACATATCAAAAACTAAGCATTTGCACAAAAAACATTACTCTAAAATATCGATTCATAATTAAAATAATAACATATTTAGGATGGTCAGAAACACTAGAAGAGGAATGTGTAAAAGACGAACATTAACGTACAGTATTGCACCTTCATGATGTATGGGACAGTCTGTAATGTAACTATGTTTATGAGGGATAGTGTTGCAAAAGAAAATAAGGTAAATTTTTCTTGCAGCACCGTTCACTTGTAGCAAGTTAAAAATAAATTTTTCTAGTGTGTTTGTGTGTGCTGAGACCGAATATGACCTTCCGTTTTGGCGGAAATTAGCCGGGTTTTTTTAGTGATTTTTTTTCGTTTGACGTTTTCCGAGAAAAAAAGTGCCTAAGCGACTAACAAATACACAATAAAACACTAGAAAAACAATAACCAAGCCTAACCTAACCTGACCTAACTTAACTGACTCTCACCATATGATGGAATCACCTATTTCTTACCTTATTGGCCTGGTTCTTGTTCGTAGTTGCATTCTGGGATTCTTACCCAACGCCACATATGTTGGTCTTTGCGATATTTACATTCCGTCTTGCTCTTAGTACACCTTACTGAGGTTGGAAGAACACCATGCGATCGAAAAAATGCTATAGTTTCTACGTTTTTTTTTCTTTCGAAAAACTCGCAATCGGCTCCATATACTTTAAGTGACATCCATCGCAGACTTCCATGGTCGGAACTGAACTTGAATTTCAAAATATGAGACCCAAAATAAAACTCGATTTTGATTGGGCCAAATATACTCTGAATTAGCAAAAACGCTTTTGATTGGCCGCGTGACGTGTACGGGTACGCATGCGCGTCATGATTTATGAAGGAGACGCGAGAGACACGCAGTGTTAGGTGAGAGGCAGACAATGGCAGGAAGTAATGGAAGAAAATATAAATGTATTTGGAAAAGCTATCTCCGTTATTATACAATTCCGCCGGTAACGTAATAGATGAAAATTATCTTATAATTAGACGTCTTATTCGAATATGATAATAGATTAGTGGTAGGAATGAACGGTGCTACAAGAAAATAATACCGAAAATAAATTAGGTAAGGTTTTAATTTCGGTTCATAACCGCTTTGATAATTAAAAACATGTCTTTTTGATTGTTTGGATAATTCTAAAACACCTTCTTCTATGACATTTCCCTTGCAAATAACCTAAATATTAATCCAACCTCCTAAACGGGCATAAGTCGTTTGCTAGGGAAACGTCATCGATTAAGTGTTTGAGAATTGTCTAAAATGTGGGAAAAAACTGTTTTTAATTATCAGGGAGATAATGGACAGTAAGGAACATAATACCAAGTTTCCATCAGTATCAACGTCTCAATCACTCTGAATGAATCATATAACAATGCAAACACAATCATTATATTGACGACAATAAATATGAACTTGGCCGTTGAAGACTTACCTGGTGAGACCACAATAATATAACAGGTAGTGAGGGTGAAGGCTGGTGTAATGTATCCCAAGGCCACAACATTGAGCCACTAACAGCCTAAATATTATTACATCATTATACTTAATGTAATAATTTATATTTAACATTTCTTTCGTAACTTCTTTGCTATTAAAATATTTGATTTATATACAAATATTGTTATAAACATGGCTAATTACCATTTGGTGAATAATGAGAACAGACCAAGGTGCAGAACGCCTGTACATGATAACAGGGCGTCTAGGGGGAAAGGGGACGTGATTGCTGCCCGTATCATCATTGGGTATGACTTTGCTTGGGAGATTGGTATCCCCGCATCCCCTGAGCAACGCTCTTGTGCATTATGCAGAAGACCCGACAGCAGCACCCTTATCCACTACCTCCTAAGATGTCCCCACACACAACGCCTGCTGGACCACCACTCCACGACCCGCTTTATCGGAAATTATCATGTAAATAAATAAGTAATTACCATTGCAATAAACATAATTGCCAACTAGACATAATCCTGAAAGCTCTGTCCTCTTGTTCAACCTTATTACTGTACAACCCAGGTTGTACTGCTCCCCCATTATACTTATGTTTTTAAATTCCACTCTAATTTATATGTATAGGTGTTTGTGTATGTATATATATATATATATATATATATATATATATATATATATATATATATATATATATATATATATATATATATATATATATATGTATATGTATGTGTATACTGTATGTATAAATAAAAAAATAAAAAAAATAATAATAAAAAATAAAAAATAATAAAATAAAAAATAATAAATAATAAAATAAATAAATATTGAAGTGATAACCGTGGTACCACTATGAGATGTACTTATTACTACCATGCTATTGTACTATTCCAGATGATACTAAATGTTACATAATACTTCCTTGAGATAAATGTATAGTATATATCAGGTGCCTCAAGGAGGGCTGAGGTTCTCAACTGGCTCAGCCATGTTAATATTGTTATTATTATCCATTCTGTATCTGTGTTTTTCTGGCTAAATAAACTGTTTCAATTCAATTCAATTCAATGGTGGCACCTGGTATATACTGTACTGTTTGAGTCATGAGCTCTCGCTCCGCCGGACGTCTAGGTGCTAATGGATTGGTTTCGAGGCTTCGTTTCGTTTGGTTGGTGGTAGTTCACCTCGGCCAGCCGTACTGACTGAGTAGTCTAGTCGGGGTAGTTGAGGTGACGACGATTCCGTAAAGCAGTCATCAGTGAAACAGGAACTGCGTTCATAGAGTTGACAACGTAGTTAAAACACACATACTGTAGCTACAAGCCGGCCCCTCCCCTCCCCCCTACACCCTCGTTGTGGCAGGCTGTAAGCTGCATTTTTTCTTCCTAGAAGCGGATTTAAGCAGGAGGTCTATTCAACAGCACCCAGGCGGGACCAGATAGGTTGGTGCTTACTCGGGCGGAGGTGGGGTTAGGTGGGGGATTCGTCGGCAATTTGTAAAGCTACTCTTTCTCTCCCTCTTAAGAGTACTCATTTCACTTAATCTATTTTTCTCTCTTTTACACACACACACACACACACACACACAGCATTAATAGATGACAAAGGCAAACTAAATTATCTGGTAATTGTAAACTAAAGACCTTTTGCTTAAGATAACCTTACCTCACCGTCTTCCCCCCTGGACATGTTAATTACCAAATTAATTCCTTTTTATCCACACATATATTCTTTCCATATTTATTATTATGATATTCTTAAACATCATTGATTCCTTTTAAAGACGTTTAATATGGTTACACAAAGTCCCAGTTTGGAATCCGCAACTGATTGTCAAGGTATAACAGGCGTTGATTATAATCATGCTGAACGGAATACCTGAACCATCTACTATACTGTATATCCTGTACTGTACATGTTCAATCAAATATAAACTTGTATTTAGATTTTGTTGAAAATAAATACATTCTTATATACTTACATGTAGAGTGATGACTTTGATGTATGACCTATGACCTCTTAACATGAAAGAGCACAATGGATTTATATATTGTTATGTATTCACAGGTCAAGTATTTTCATTGATCATGTGGGGATTCACGTATATACTCACATCTTTAACCAATGATTATTTTATTTTAATGTATATCTAAAATGTGGTGAATATATAGGCCAAGTATTTTATTCGTTTTGATTATATTAATTATTAAAAAAAACAATAAGATTAAACATAGCGTCCACAGATAATGTTGTTGTGTGCAGCGAGCCACGAGAAGAATTTATGTGTGTGTGTGTGTGTGTGTGTGAAAAGGTCTCAGAGATCAGACAATGGAGGGAGTATGCGGGGCGTTTCTGTGTGTGTGTGTGTGTGTGTGTGTGTGTGCGTGTGTGTGTGTGTGTGTGTTAATCCGAAACTTGTTGCCACAATTAGTCTTATTCTTTTGAAGGTATCATAACGAGACTTGGTAAGCATTATCACTCACCCATCAACGAGTCACAAGGTCATAGGTCACTGTTATTAGAGAAGCTGAGAGATAATGAACAGATTAATTTACACCTAACCCTATTCTGGTATAACATAAGTGTGTTTTTACTTTACTCGTGTATAAGTACTTTAGTTTAATTAAAGGAGGTTCACTTGTTTCTTTATCTTAATATCATTTTACTTGTACTTATCCACCTGTTACTTGGGAACCATTACATTAGTCAAGGAGAAATGTGAAGTGACTATTTGACTATTTAAATTTATTCAACAAAAGACGTGATTATGAAGTTGTATGTCTTATCCCTATTTCTAAGTAGATATACCGTGGGGGAGGGAATCCACTATACTTGCACCCGTACGACTACAGAGAAACATCCACCAACTTGACCGCGCCCAGTGCTGTTGTCGCCACACCATACCACACCCAACGCTAAACTGACTGTATACATATATCTTACATTATCTTTTTGCTGTAGAGAGTATATTTTGAGTGTCCAATCAGAATTAGTCTTTACAGAGATACTTTAGGCACTTTTCTCCACCGATTGGCTAGTTCACAATATGGGCGTGTAGTCAAGTCAGTTCTATGAGTGGAGTTACCTTCATGGCACCTGGTATAGGTCTCTGGTCACGCTTGGGAGGATAATGAATGGTGACCCCACATAAACTGGCAAATTTTCAGGTTTCCCTCGTAACAGCTGGTTATCGTGGGCGTAGGCGTGCGTAGGCGTCATTACTTAACCTAACCTAAGTTACCCAGGTAGTGTTACAGTGGTTAATCATCTGATGAAATAACCTGGGGTGATCCGATTCATATATTCTTAATACATATTAGTAAACCTTCATAAATCATGTATTTTGTACCGACATAACACATCCAGTGGACTACGTGACCGACGGGGAGGGTTTTGAAGAGAGATTGACAGCGCTCACCACTCCAGTAACCATGACAAGTTATTCTGCTTGGAACCCGCTAACATGTCACAACCTAGCTCCCTTGGCTGTCACACTACCACAATACCTTATAAACACAGTCTTCAACACAGTGTCATCATCCTCATCTACCGTCCATTATGATATAGGTGATGATTCATCTCATATTAAAGGAAATTGCTGGTTTATACTTGGTGACTCAGGGCCAATATCTGTGACTGCACTTGTGATGTACTCGAGTGATAACATGAGACGTAGTAACAGTTTTTTTTATTTTATTTATATATATATATATATATATAATTTTTTACAGGGATTAGACCACCCGGGCTAAAAAACCATAGAGATACACAAAAATGAAAAAAAAATCAATAGTGAGAAATGATGTGTACTGTACAGTAAGGTTGTGTTGTCAAAGAAAGAGAAACAATTGAGACCCTGCAATTGTATGTAAATGAGGCAGAAAGTCAGATCAGCAACCTTGGACTTGGTCACAAATTTCGTGATGCCATATGGCAGCAGGGTCTACCATTAGACAACACAATATGCTTCCAATATCTTCCCAGGCGGTAGTACCTCCCTGTTTGGTAGCTGCCTACTACCTGTTATCCCAGCGTTAGCCCAGCAGCAGCAGCTCAAAAGAATACCTGTATTAATCATCAGTATCACCTGATAGGCTCCTCGAAAGAATCAAGCGAGGGTGTTCGTGCCGAGATTATTTTTTTCTCGATGAAACTAGTTGAATGATGAGTTAAGTGGATGGACAGAATTAGATGGACGATGAGTTTGCTGGACAGAATTAGATGGGCGAGGCGAGCTTACTGGACAAAATTAGACAGACGAGGAGTTTAGTGGGCAAAATTAGATTGACGAAGAGTTTGCTGGACAGAATAAATGGGAGGAGTCTGAACATCGGGAATATAGAATGTGTATGGAAGAACGAATGACAGATTTATGGCATTGTAAACATGAGTTATTGAGGCCATGACAGTAACTTTGAAAGATGATCTATAAATTATGTCGTTCAGGTACATTGAGAGGCGTTAATCTTACGACACGTGTAAATCAAAGAGACAGGTTGATGTAGACCACGTATTAACTAGTTTTTTATATAAGAAACACTGGAACCTTTAAATCTTTACATCATCTGTGTGCTGTCTGTGAGTGTGTACAAACTGGCGAAGCTGCAGACCACGTGGCGGGTGACTGGCAGTTCTGGCACCACGAAACAAAGGACCGAAGATCTCACAGGTGTCTCTCGGTAACTCTACTGTTAGAAACATTTACGCCACACCACACTTTAAAACGACAGATTGAAACGGTTCAAGTCGATATGCAGGGTACTTAAGTCACGCATTAGTTTAAGCTTGTTGTGTTGATTCATGCTTGTTGTGTTGACTCATGGTTGTTGTGTTGATTCTGGATGATTCCTGTGTGTTCTACCCAGTCATGCTTAGTGTTGAGTTCAGCTTCTCCTGGTGTGCCCGGGTACACGTGTTGCCTCAGGAGCTTCTACAATTATGGATTTATTATCTTTAATTCTTTATATTTTTATCATTATAATTAATACCCTTACCAGGTGGACTAGAGGGGTGACTGGTCAATGGGGCCTAATTTAACCAAACAACCATTATGACTGGGGTTTAGTGCTAATGAAATCGAACCCTAAGGTGACTCATTCCTAATGGTCAAGTTACGATGAGGCCTATTGGAATTGGGACGTATCAGAACTAAGACCCATTTGACCTGTAATCGCTGAGTACATGAATGAGCTGAGGACGAGAGGTGGTGCCGTGGTAGTGAATGTAATGATTTTGTACCTTGTCAGATTAAGTCGGGAGGAGGTTCCACTTTTCAAATTGGGAATGGATGGCATTTACGGTACTAAAGAAACAACAAGTCACAGTGAGAACATTGTTTAACATGAGAGGTGTTGACTATCTTGTTCCTATACTTTATGTAGTAGCTTCTGTCATACCCTGGACGATGGCTTCAGACCTGTGTACTCACTACTCCATTTGTATATTTTGCTATGGATTTTTCTCCTCTTAAATTAAACAAATAACACCAAACATTTCTTGCATGTTGGAGACTATAGTTCCGCGTCAGCTGTTGAAAGATGGATGTGATGTACTTTGCCCCATGTTTATTTATCTCTTTTAATTTTTATCTAGTAGTGATTTTTCTTCTTCCGCTTTCTCCTCTTTCACCCCGTGTATTTGGAGGTGGATAGGGAGAGGGGAGGAGGGGTGGGGGGTGGTGTTGGTGGGCAGGGCGACCTTGATACAATTTACGCTGTAGCAGTGCCCACACACCCAGTAGACGGCAGTATCCGCTGACGCTCACACACTGACCCCGCCTCTCACCAGCACCACACCACCACCGTAAGTATACGTCAACCGCACTACGATACGATATTCCCACAGTAGATATTTGTTTCCTCAGTTTTACATCTTTCAATATTTGTTTTCATTGATGTTTGATTTTCTCTTTAATTCGTATTTATTAATAGTAATTGATGCTGTAATGTTCTGAAGTGGAGTGTTGGCGAGTGTCTGTATCCTGTAGTGTTGGTATGTACACCTGCCTCGTTATTGTGTATGTGTGTGTGCGTGTCATAGGTGTATTTGAGTGTATTGCAAAAATATGTCAGTTTGTAAATCGTCCTACTAAGTTCGATAGGGAACAACACCTTTACTAGGGGGTCTTACGCCAGATTTTTCTCGTCCCTCCCCCCGACATTGACTCAAGCTGACTATAACTAACATAAGTTAACACAGAAAATAATTATAACAGCAAACACTAATGACACTGAAAAAAAAGACTTTCATTATCCCAACATAACTAACTAGTAACTGAGGGACCCGCATCAACGTGAATCTTCCCCCGTTAACGTAAAACGCAAGTAAGTAAGGGATGAATGTTATATTAACGTATGTATCTATTATGAGAGATAACTCCACAAAAAATTGCATTCCTACTTCTTGAACAAATATTAACCTCATTTCTTTCATAAATTTGATATATATTTTATCTGTCATGGAATTTTATCAGAGGAATAACATGATTCAATGACGGTGTCTTCCTCAAGCTATCGGCCTAACGCACAACTACTACTTTAGCTCCGCAGTCCATCTGAATATGTTTAGTCACGTTTAAAATCCCGAGTCATAAATCAACACGGGTATTAGAGAAAGATCAGATTAAAGACCTGGGGTATTCTTTCTTCGTCTGTTATATTCTTCTTCTGCTCTTTGTCGAGATTTCACACACGTCTCCAGGATTCTTTTGACATGAGATCCATGTTTTCGAGTTATGGCCTCATACTCTGGCTATGATGTGACTTCTGTAGCGTAATTTTCTATTTGGCATTTTTTCCTTCCCCAAACACCCGTGAGATGTTTATATATTATTCTAAGGAGTTTTTCAAGTTATTTATTTCCATTAGGATTATTTTCATATTTATATTCGCTTCTTTCAATCATTTTCCTTGACCTCCGCGTTTCTCTCGCAGGGTCGCCACAACCACCACAATGCCTGAGTACAAACTGGTTTACTTCAACGCCAAGGGTCGGGCCGAGTTGACCAGATGGATCCTCGCCTATGGTGGCACCGCTTACACTGACGAGCGCGTCGAGCTGGAGAATTGGCCTGAGAGGAAGAAGAGTAAGTACTTTTGTAAAATGTTTCGTTAATCCATTACCCCCCAAAAAAGTCAACCTATTATAGTATTACAGCTGCTTCCTATGACGCCATGCCACACACTCCTTAAACGAGTGATATGTACAGATCAAGGTCAATACGTTCATTTCTTACACTGATAAAGGATCTTCAGCCGAAGTCCATCAGTTGTTGCCGGGCAGCTTCCACAGGGGAATAGACGTGTAGAGAACTGATAACCTAAACACACGATGCCCCTCGATATCAGGACAAAATTAAAATTTTGTCAATAATCTCACTTAATATGCTCGTATTATAAAAGTAAACAAAGACCCACACAGTACACGTTAACACAGCTCCCCTTGTGTTTTATTCCAGCCATCATGACGGGAAAAGTGCCGATGTTGGAGATAGACGGTAAACAACTACCACAGTCCTTAGCTATTGCCCGCTACGTAGCCAAGAAGGCCGGACTAGTGCCTGAAGACGCTCTCCGAGCAGCTTACTGTGATGCCCTTGTCGACACGGTCTCAGATCTGATAACCGAGGGGCATAAGGCCAAGTAAGTATAGTGTGTCTTTCTACAACGTGTGTACCATCATAGTTGTTCAAGTTTAACTCAAATACTTCAACAAATTCACAATTACATATACACGTTCTCTCATACACTCAGTGAAACTAACTGACCAATTATGGCAAATATGTCACTTTCTGACCAACAGATTATAACTGGCAAAACAATATCGTGTTACTGTTTAAATACACACATTGTAACTAGTCAAATGGACCTTTAGTACTAACAGAACTTACCCCAGTACTAATACATAAGCTATAACACCTTGTAGGTTAAGTTGAGACTATTAGATATGGGAACCTATTTAGCCTGCAATAATTTCGACCCTACCCCCCCCCTCAAAAAAAAAAAAATCTTGCAGGACCAGCGGTAAGAGTGAGGAGGACGGGAAGAAGGCCGTACGGGAGGAGTTCATCCCTAACCACGCAGAGCCTGTCATGGAACGCCTTAACAAGCACCTGGGGGAGAAGGAATGGTACACGTCAGGCAAGGTGAGTGACTCAGTGTTAACCAAGTGTCTGTATAGTGTGGGCTGTGTGGACTCCTTGTACGATGTGTGTGCTCTCTCTCTCTCTCTTTTTGAAGTTTTTTCTCTGACAACAACACAGTAAAAGATCTCGTTTATGAGTGCCAGTCTAGAGAGAGAGAGAGAGAGAGAGAGAGAGAGAGAGAACGAGAACATCGTATAAGAAGTTCACAGTACACAGTTCACAGTTTTTTCCTCCATTTATATCGAAAAAAAAACTCATAAGACTACCGAGGCGAAGATCCTTAATTTTGTGTGTAAATAAACTCATTATTCTTGTATTACAAATCTTATGTAAATTCTGTTATTTAAATCTTACATAATACACAATATACATTTACTGTTAATTTATTCCTTGATCACTGTATAAGGAACCCACACCATCTTGGTCAAATTATTAACCGAATTTTACTCTCCTCCCACAGATCACCTGGGCTGACCTGTCGATAGCCTCGTATTTCGGTGAGGAAACTAACGGGTTCTCCTCTAAATTGCTGGACAAGTACCCGGCACTGAAGGCCCACATCCAAAAAGTGAGAAATCTACCCAAAATCAAAGAGTGGCTCGCAAAACGCCCAGTGACTTCAATGTAAACATCTACCTCGTCGACGATAAATGTGCTGAAGATAAAATTTTTATTATTTTCCTCAATATTTTATCCCAATATGCCAAATTCTGACCACTTCCTTCCACGATAATACAGTGAAACTTATTTTTTTTCTCTGTACAAAGATTATTTTATATATTACTTCCGCCAAACAAATTTTAACTACAGGTTTTGTAAATAATCACGCTTGTATCGATGTCACCTCCTGCATCATTTGAGTGGCAATTTACCCGACTTTCTTCAACCCAGTATAGCAGTATGTTCTTCGGATGTGTGTGTGGAGAAATGCTATCAGTCGCAAAAGATACGATTCCACTATGACCCAGTTCTGGCGATGAGTCACACGTAGGCAGAAATACAGGGTGTCCATAAATGATTACCCTGATTAAAATATGGGAGCATACTGTTTTTAGGGTAATCATTTATGGACACCCTGTATATCCCGAGAATACATTTCCACTGAAGAAAACCCCTAACACACATAATAATCACAAAAAACGTAGAGAGAAAGACTGTCCTGAAACCAAAAGGAAGAGATAACCATTTCCTTTTTATTCAGTTCTTATTGATTTTTTTATTTATTTAAATTCTGGAGCACTCGAATATCAGGTAGTGATTACAGTATAATACAACCAGGATTGGAAACCATAGTCCTCCATTCTAAACGCTCTTGAGCTGTTTAGAAACCCCCAATACGAGGACATAAATAGGATAATCTCCTTTAAGTTTTGACATGAATATCTGAGAAAACATTGCATATTGCCAGAAAGAATAAGAGCAATTAGGGTCAACATTCGCCTGGTCAAGTATCACGTTACCCCCCGGCCACCACCCATTTCCCCAGGATTACACAGATTCACTCCCTTTCTTCACACCTATGATCACCTTGCTCTTAACCCTCTTCATAAATCTATTCTCTTTTCCTTTCACTGGTTTCTCGTCTCCCTCCTGTTTCCTGTTTACACAACACTTAATTCCAAACACTTAAAATTCCCAGTTCCTCTTATACAGAAAACGGTACAATTTGTCTTCTTGTCCAGGCCTTTGGCACATTTTCCAGTTATGAAGAATTCCCACATATTATATCAATTAAAGCATTATTACCTCCCCTCCACCACCTCTTCTGTTCTATCTACTGTGAGAGCCTACCTATAGTAAATGTCAACTGTTCTTGCGATAAAACTATGCAAAGCTTCTCCCTTCTCTTCCCATACCCGAACATGACATTACCTTCTGTCTTATCTTTGAATGTCATTAACTCTACTCTATTCCTTGTTGTGGGGAAAAGTAAAGGTTAAAATTGAAATCCACTTTTAATTTCCCATTTACAATTGTTTTTAGTATTTTATCTTGAGGGATTTGTTTTCTATTGATTTATAAAGTAAAAAAAAAAAAAAACAGGTGCATTCTTAAACACTGGAGGGTATGGAAACAGCTCTCAATATATAAAGATTTTTATGATCTCTTTTACACATTTTTGCACTTGGTAATATCCTGACGTCGCTGAAGAAGGATATTTATCCGTTGCTTTTACTATAATGATGTTGACACTAAATACGGTTTATATATTTATACTGCATATAAAGACCAGGAAAAGAAAATCACTAATGGGGATGGACAATACAACAACTGTGAGGGGATCAACATCAAATAGAGGATCGAACAAGTAAGTAAAGATGTCGACCAAGAAGAAATAGTGGAAATAGTTAACAAAAAAGTAGTCCCAACTAGTCAAAAACTGAAATAAAAACAGGTAAGTCCATTTAAGAAAGGTATTGTAATGGATAGTGAAGAATTACAATGAAACAGACGTCCATTTATGTTGGAAAGCCTCTCAGAAGGGGGTCTCGGGCTGACTGTCAATCCACTGCTTGATCTTAGGGAGAGCGACGACCTTGTTGACGTGGTTCTCTACGCTCGAAAATTCCTTCAGCATCGTCGGTTGCTTCTTCCTCAGTCCTTGAAACACCAGCCCAAGCATCAGGTCAGCCCATGTTATCTGGGGAGGAATAACAACTCTAATAAAGATGACCGACAGGATTTAGATGAAAGAATTAAGCTACACAGGGATACATGATGATCTATAAGGCTTGGAGGGAGTTCTTGAGTGTGTTGAGATCAAGAGTTTCCTCGAGGTCGTGGGGGATTTTGTTGACTATTAAAGTAAACAAGATGAAAATACTTCAGAAGCCACTACTGTAGTAATAAAGTCCATCAAATTCAGTAAATGAGGTGGACACTTGGTAAACTTGAGGTAAAGACGTAAGATAAGCTTGAAAATTGAGGAATATTCACTATCCATCTCTTTCGATATAACAGTGATCAAGCATAACAGTGTAAGTATTTATATTATTCACCAGTAAAGATATAAGTTCAAATATTCCAAGAAGTGCTACAGTATTTTACCACTCCTGTCGTTTAAGCTACAGTACCAGCCACATCTGTTTACTCAGGGAGCCATCAAGGAAGGTTGATATTTGGACAATCTTTCCCAGTTACTCGAGAAGTTTGATTCCTAGTCCATCATACTGTATACATGCCAAGATTTTGATACTATGGTGGAGATTACTGCAGTAGACTATTGAACAAAAACTAATAACTAAGTATTGACATTTGATGCTGCAATCCTCCCCGCCAAGTTCTAAATAATTAGTGAATCAGTACAGTAGTTTAGATAATTAAGAATAATAGTACCTGTATGCAAGTTTTCATTAAAGGATGATCGTGAGCATTTAGGACCTTCAATTAATATGTATGTTTAGCAATTACTGAACATTTACGACAATAAGTGAGAATAGTAGTGGGTATACTAACTTTGCCTCCAGCGAACCACTCCCTATCTGCCAGACGCTTGTCGAGGCGGTGCAAGAGAGGAGATATAATGTTGGGGTACAAGTCGTCCTTGTACTTCTTCTTCTTCTCATCTTCGTCTATCTTGGCGAACCTGAAAAAGACATCTTGAGATTATGTTATCTGGAAAATATATAAAAACGGGTTCAAAGCATTTAGCGGGTTATATTAACCGAGGCGTCTTCAAGTGTATTTTTTTAAGAGTAATAATGTAGTAACATCCAAACTCAGCATATGTCAAACCTTGCAATAAAAGACATAAACCTGGGCCATGTATAAGTAGTTTTTTCAATGATTCGTATGTTATTAAATATGACATTAAGAGGTCTCTATAAAACAGTTCGAGGAAACATTGAGAGAGAAGAGCGAATCTACAGTATTTAATTTGTCTGGTGAAATTGGGAGGAAAACAAACAAATTAAAAGAGAAAAAAGGCATTCGTAAAATAACAAGTGACCGAACTTACAGTATCTTGTAAGCCTCAGCCATCATCTCAGAGAGTGTGTCAGCCAGGGCGTCACAGTAAGCAGCGTCGAGATCGTCTGAAGGTATGAGCCCAGCCTGCTTGGCCAGGTAGCGGGCGATGGCTAGTGACTGTGGCAGAGGCTTGTCGTCCACCATCAACACTGGCACCTTGCCTCCGGGAATAGCTGTTGGGATGAGGATACAAGTCACTTATTGTGTGGACTCACGTGTGAATGTTGTTTATGTTTTTAAGTCCGTGGAAATCAGAAGAATATTGTGTCTTAACTCCTATTTGGACAGGTTAGGTGAATGAGGACCAGTCGCCAGGTTGTTGTAGCTCTCTGAAGGGCCTGCCCGTATCTTCACCTGTGACAATATCATGCTAACTGGCTATTGTTTCTTTTAAACTGTACACGAGGATTTTACAATTAAATATCACAGGAGTTTTTTCTTGTTATAATAAGTCATTGATAACTAAGGGATTTTGTTATTCATTTCAATTAAATACATCAACTAACAATTACAATTAATGAGTCAAAGTTTTTCCTATTAATTATTAAACAGTCTCTACTGTATAACGTTTCTATCGCACAAAGATGAAGACCTATATTACTATTCTTTTTTATCAATGCTGTAAACATGTTGTAGATGATATATTTGTTCTCATTTGTGTACAGTGAGATGATCCCTTTACTCGAGACCTTCACGGGGGTCACCTACTACACGTACCTCGGCTCCTACCATAACTTAACCATTGGGACAGAGCCTCAAGTCCCAGTGCTCTGACCTAATGCCCTCAAGTTTAAACAGCTGGGGGAGGTTGGAACAAACTACAACTGTAGCCTCTGTGATCGGCTACCCACGAGGAAATAGCTAATATGAGAAATTCAAATTAATGGTAAATAACTATTCAATAACTTTGCTGGTAACATTGTAGTATTTTCGCGTAATTTCAGCAACATTTTTATAACACGTTACTGATAATGTTGAGTTAATGTGGCTTCACCTTAACAGTTACAGTGTAGAACCAACCTTAAGTTTTCCCATAAACACGACAGTTTCTTAAGTGAAGTGTATATGATAAATGTAGGAGTGAAAATGTCAACACTTCCTTTACCCTTGTTATGAAACTATTGATTGCCACTTTGAAGAGAGTAAAAATAAAATCGCTCCCAAGCACCGAGACGGAGAGGCAGAAGCGAGTTTTAAAGATGAAGTTCACTGTTATTATTCTGTACCTCACTTTCCATGGCTGCTGTTCATTATATTCATGTCCTTATCCCACTAACCTTTTACCATCTACAGTACCGTACACAAACGTTTCTTAATAGTGGTTAATTTTGGCAGGTTGTGATCCTAGGTTATTTAAGCCAAATAAAATAAAAATCCCGTTTCAACTCAACAAAATGGGATAGGCACGTAAGCTCTAGTCACCCATGGTTAAGTGAAAGTTTAAGTCAAGTCGTTTTGTAAATCAGTATAAATAAAATTGTAACTATTGTTCGTTCGATTTATAGCATCTACAAAATTACAATCACAGCCAATCTTCCATCACCACTTAGTAGGATCTGTGAGTCATACGTGATTGTCTTACAGCTGGTAGTCGTCGTCGTCGTCGTCGTCGTCGTTGTTGTTGTTGTTGTTTCAGATTATGTTAAAAGAGAGCGACGAACCTCTTCTACGAACATAAATCAAAGCGAATAGATTTTAAAATCCCACTCCTCCTTACCTACACAACCCTCAAGTAGACGACAGGTGTTACCAAAAGTATAAAGGGAATTTCGTCCACCATTGTGCATTTGACATTTATTTATCTACTCACTTACCCAATATAAAAGAGAAGCTTTAATGGGTTTGAGTTTTGTATGAACAGCAATTTAATGTCTGGCCAGAACCTCGTATCTTATAAAATGTTTAAACTTCTAACTTATTTAAGGTAAAGAAATCACTAATAATTCTGGACAGGTGTGATGTATTGCACAGCTAAACGACAAGTCTCAGCAGTTGTACTGACTCGAGTGTTTCTGTGCATTTTAAAGACATGTGAGTGTCAGCTTTGTTTACCTGCTGACTGACCGAGCATATTGAGAAACATCCTGGATGACGCAAAGACTTAACAATGAAGTGTCGAAATACTGCGTACGTCACACACGCACACAAGACATGTTACTCCACCATCACCGATCTGTTTCTGCGTAAACAACAACGTGGAACCTAAATCCTGAACATTCAAGGAAAGATCTTTCTGCTGTAGAACACTAACCCAGGAGCTAAGGCAGACACCTGTATTTTTTGACATTAAAGTACTGGAAGTGTTCACATCTGTCAGTAAGCTAATAGTGACTGGGCACCATTTCACCTGAACACCAGTCTTAGCAAATCCCATTTTTCACAATCACATTAATGAGGGGACTCACTGGACTTGCGGGCGGGCCAGTCTGCCCTCTCGATGCGCTCGTCGGTGTAGTTGATGTCACCGTAAGCCATGATCCAGCGACTCAGTTCAGCGCGACCCCTGGCGTTGAAGTAGATCAGCTTGTACTCAGGCATGGTGGTGGCGGCTCTGATGGCTGTGGGAGAGTTGGAGGTTAGTCTGTGGAGGACGGAGGCGTAGTTGTAAGAAAGTAGGAGAGATATAAGAACAAGAGGGTAAGTGAAGAGAGCAGTAAATGGAAGGAGTGAGGGAGGTGGGAAGCGCGGGAAGGTATAATTGAGGGAGGGAGAGGAACGGTTGTTCTGGTAAGACGTCTGCTACGTAACACCGAGCTAGTACAATACTGCCTCATGCTGGTCCTGGTTCTCTACATCATTTCACAATACACAAGCAAACTACTGTACATTTGAAAAAAAAAAACAGTTTCACATTCATTGGCAAATTCACCAACAGTCAGTCAATATCATTATTCTTATTGGTTATTTCCCCGTATAATAACTGGATGGTTTACCTGACAATTACCTTGCCGATGACCGTACCTGGGTTAACAAATACTCATACTAGATCAGTGTTGCAGTAATTTTATCCCCAGACTTCTTTTACGCGCTGACAGCTCCTATTACTGGAATACTGAACCAACCCATTATTTACAACTTGCAATATTATAGTGAATTGGTATCGGTGTTGGAGGGTATTCACTATTTACCTTAAACTTCCCTACTTATACACGTTAAGCACATAATACAGGATAATGACCACCATACGCAAATTAGACTCGGTGAGCGAAGACAATGAATCTGACAGTCATGGTGAGACGCAGAAACTCTTCCCTCGGGGCATACGTGACGTTATCAGTGATGCGGGTTTATATCTCTAGACCGTAAACATCACCTTCCTCTTCCTGGCCATGATACAATCTATACAATGACGACAGTAATTTTCGCAGCCCAAAGGAAGTTTACCAGTCCTCATGTAGGTACAGTTCAAAAGGGGGGTCAAAGGGTAAGGCAGTCAAAAGTGTGGAGGGAGGTTAGGATGCATTACGCCTCGAGGATACACTCCATATAATACAACAAGTGGTTAGATGGGTCCGTCCCAATGGTTAGGTTAGGTTGGTACTCTATGAATGTGTCTCATTTGCTCTGCTACACTCTCTTCTTGGCACTACCCATACTACTTAAGCATCCAAGTGTGGAGTGGACGTTGGAGGGTGGGCTGGTAAATGGGCGGGATGGGTGGGATGGGGAGTGGGGAGTGGGCGGGAGGGGTGGGCTGGGTATTTTGGTCTACTTCATTTTTAACAGGAAAATGACTAGCTCGAGGGATAGCCAGACACGATTCCATAAATTCTATATCACCGTCTTGTAGAAGGTCAGGTCAGGAGGTCACGAGCTGTTAGGTCAAATGACACAAGGTTGTGTGTGTGTATAAAGATCAGTAAACTCGACACTGACCTTCACATTAGCCTCATTAATACAAGCGAATTCAACCGATAAATTACTCCCTCATAGTAAGCTGAAGGTCACAGGGCATATGGGCGGTCACGTGAGATAGAGAGTGACAGTTCCTCTACAGCAACGACCACCACCCACCCCCACCCCTACACACACACACACACACTGTTCACTCAACCTGTCAGCTTTTCTCAATACTACCGACAAAATTTTAGAGTAAAATAACCCCCAAAATATTACCTGTTTAACTAAATAACTTTATTCAATAAGTAAAAATATTGTTTTCGTTCACATTTTTGTTCATTTCATCTGTAAAAAAATTTTTTTGTGCGTGTTTGTGCGACTATTGTTCACCTGTGTTGACGGAGATAATAGACCTGACTCTCTCAAACAATATAAACCTGACTCCCTCAAACAATAACACTGATTCAGGGCGAATTACTATTGTTAATTTTTTGAATATTTGGAAGTGAACTTTGTCTACCTTGAAGATCTCTGCCACACACCAACCACCTTCACCACCTCCCCTGTCTTTCCCTCCTCCGCCTTGAGGGGCCTGAGACACCACCTGTTCCATACCTCACCTGCGCATCCTCAAACTCACGTGTTCTTTAATATGGCTCCATCCCCTTCAACCCCTCCCTGTCCACCTCCCGCTCATGACTTGTTTGGTATCATGCCTCACACTCACTCATGCGCACAAACTAATTCATTTCTCTATCACGTTTTTTTTCCATCTATCATATTCTCTACCTGTAGTTCCCTCACCCATGACTGCTTCTGGTACCTGGGTTTTACCTCCATCAGTCGCTACCAGTGTACCTCCCACCCCGTGACATTTGGTATCATGGCTCCATCTCCTTCAATCCCTACCTGTGCACCGCCGGCCAAATGACGCCAATATCACGATTCCATCTTCTTTAGTCCCAACACCTCCTACCCTGGTGCTCTCTGATACCACCACTCCATCTACTTTAATACCTACCTCTTCTTCCTTCCATCTCGATACTTTGAACTCCTGAGCCTTCTCCCTTCCTCCCTCTGTTTCTCTGACTACCCTCCCCTCTCCCACCAAGTAGTATTTTTCCCTCACCCTGTGGTAACTCCATGACCCAAACAGATCCCATTATGGTGAAAACACAAGTTAGATCAAACAAGCTATTTTTCTGTTAAAACGAAGATTAACCAAAATCCCTAAAGGACTTAAAACAGAAATTATACTTGGAGTATTTTATGAAAAATGAACATAACGTAAAGGTAATAGTTAAGCATAATCGTATAAATAACCTCACAATGGTTTGGGAATTATTATTTTTTCCATGTATTAGGGACGACGAGACAATCTCCTCCCCAGGCTGCCCCAGCGAGCTGAGCTACAGAGAATGTAGTGAGGAGAGCTCGAGGGACGTAGTGACCACCTTGTACTGTATACGATCAACAATTCCGAAAAAAGTATAGATTTTTTTTATGTCAAACGAGACTCAAGCGACTAGCTAAATCGATTAATAATACCGAGTCGCACAGCATTCATGTATATACTCAATATGATTGCCTTACAGTATACAGTAACAAAATACAAACTAATTCAACTGTATCCACCGAATCTTGCCAAACTCAGAATGATGTATAGACCTACAGATAACCATTACCTGTTCTCCACTTTGAACAATGAACATAATACAATATCACGGGGGAAAAAATCATTCTTTAGTCAATCGAGTCCAAGTTTAAAAGAAGTTATTATCAACAGGTACTTTCATACCTTTTTCCATTCCATATTTTGGGAGGGAGGAGGGAGAAAGCTGATTAAAAGTTTAAGGGTAAATATTTTAACAGTAAAAGTCTCGCCACAGTGTAAGGAGGAGAGCCTTTTATATAACTGTTTAAGTCTTTCAAGAACATCCTGTGTGTTTTTTTTCCTCAGCAAGTCACGTAGATAAATACATAAGGCTGAGTGTCCGGACGCCAGCGACCCGTCACGGTGTAGTGGGTCAATATTGGTGGTGGTGGTGGGCAGCATTAGAGAGGTATGGGAGGAGGAGGAGGAGGCGAGCATGGTTTAGTGGGAGGGAGGAAGTGTTGAGGTAACAAGTCATGAGTAAGAAGGGGAGTAAAGGAAATGAGGGAGAGGTGATGGGGAGGAGGAGGTAGGGAGAGGAGGAGTTGACATATAGCCGGGAAAAGGAGAACGATGAAGATGGGAGATAAGGAAGGAGGAAGATAGTAGACAAGATAAGGAGGGAGATGGTGTAAGAGAAAGGCGAGAGACAGCCCACGGTCCAGGAAGGGGGGGGGAAGTACCAATGGGTGTGTGAGGAAAGGTATGTTGCGACAGGTAGGAGAGTGGTGGGGGGTAAAGTGGGAGGTAGGGGTTAATGTCCCATCCAGGTGTCCCATACCACACCCTCCCCAACCCACCCCCTACACATACCTTGACCTGGGTTCAAGGACACATTAATGAATAACCTGTTGATTTATTCATCATAGCCAACACCAAAGTTATGCAGTCGTCAGCACACACAACTAATAACAGGCGAAGACAATCTGAAATTACCATCAGTATAAATACGAACTAATTAAAACAGGACTTGAATATGCATGGTCCTTTTTCATTGGCTATTCACTTAAGATATCGTCGACATCCTCATTAACTAAACCAAAGATCAACTCCTGTTATGGTTTTAAGGAGTACATTCGCCCTGGACACTACACAAGATAACACAGTGTTTGTTCCTTCCCACCTGATGATTACACTTATCTTTTGGAGAGGTTAAGAGGCGTTTGGTACCCATTATATAACGGAGTTCTTGACTCAGGTGATCGATAACACCCCCCAGGATGCCCTTAGACAGCGTTGGTGATAATCCCGTCACCAAATCTGACCTTTTACTAATTTTACGTAACCTAACCGTGGGCTGTGAGGTGTTAAATTAATGATGACTGAGAAAATGACCCTTCTCCCCGACACAGCCAACTCCCCGATACAGCCAACAACCCCGGCAACAACCCCCCACAGCCAACAAGACAACAACCCCGACAGCCAACAACCCCGACACAACCCCGACACAAACAACCCCCGACACAGCCAACAACCCCGACACAGCCAACAACCCCCGACACAGCCAACAACCCCCGACACAGCCAACTCTTCAACCCCCGACACAGGACACAGCCCCTTAAAGTAACAACCATTTGACCCAACAAAACCTTAACCTAACAAACCTCTTTAACCGAAAATATCCCTTTAACCTAAAAAAAAATTAATACCTTAACCCAAGAAGACCCGACAGGTACAATATAATAAATCTTGCCTGACTTTGTGTGTGTGTGTGTGTGTTACGTGCTTTTGTGGAACAGGTGGACAGCGAGAAGGTTATGGTCGTAATGTGGAAAAGGCATTCAAATTTACGACAAAAATATGATCACACGTATAGCAACCAGACCAACGTCATTACAACCACGTCAACATCTACAACCGTCCCTACACACACACACACACACACACACACACACCACAAACATACACCTACAACCCGCTAACACCACTACACCACTGCCATCACAACGCCCCTAATCACACTGACACCATAACCTAGATCACCACTAAGCCTCTACTGCAAACTGACACCTTAACAACCCACACCAGTCCACAATTATATCACAACAACCCACACTACCACCAACACCTCACTGCTGCTGCTTCAACAACCCACACTGCCTCCAAAAATACAATACCACACACCACCACATCCACCCACACCACCACCCACAACCTATAGAACAAGGCAATGTGATACTCTACGAAGGCACCCACCTTAATATTTTCAAGTTTATTATCATTTATAACTCACAGTGTGGAACCTCCTGAAGCACTGAACAGTATATTAATTTCTTCCTCTAGGTCACTGGTCTTCGGCGAATTACAAATAAGAAAACAATATTAAACTGTCTTGATTTAGCACAAGCGAAATACTGAACACTACAAGGGTCTCAAAAATGTATACAAGCTACATTATAGGTTGTCGTTAAGATCTCATGAACACTTGTATCGAAACATTATTGTCCTGGTTTGTAGAAGACTTCACAGGTAAGGACATGTTGCTGCTGTTGTAATATAAGAATTCACACGATCTCTACGAAAACCTGGAGGGCTGTGTGTATATATCGCTCAGTACTTTCGTTTCTCTCAGATTTAATTGACTTGTTTCTTTTAATCTCTTAGCCCCGTCGGCAATGCAGTTGGAAAATAAATTCTTTGTACGAATTGGGAGGCTTCTGGTTTGCAAACTATAAATAAAAATACACTTCCAGTTAAAATAAAACGCATACATAATTAAATATTCGAGAAAACCCGAGAGAAAAACGTGAAAAATAAGGCAACATCTACATATTAAGTTCACAGTCCTGTAAATAATGCCTGAATAAAGATGAACTAAAAAAAAATAATAAATCCTACCGTCTTATAACCTAACCCAACCTTAAAAGAAACTATCGTAAGAACATTAGGTTTAGTGAATGGTTTTGCCTCAGCTTACACCACCAGACCCCAGCTTTGTGGCGCCTAATATGAAGATCCTTGCCATAATTTTTCCTTCGTTTAGCTTTCCTTTACTCCTCCACAAGACTTGTAATTTATTCATTATTGTGAAATTGGGGATTAATTGGAAAGATAACCAGACCGCGGAACTATCCAACAGCCAGGTATGCCACTTGGATTATTAGCGTTAGTAATATTTCTCCAGGAAGGAAGAGAGGTGATACCAAACGTTCACACATTATCACTGAGTCATCGTCCCGGCTTCCGTGATGTAAGAAATAAATACCGTAAACCATCTCATATAAAGCTCATTTCATTGGCAACATTATTTACCTATAAATGCTCACTTGACAACACCTGTAGCACAATAACAGTCTTCACTATGGTCTTCGTTATGACGGTAAAATTAAACAGATCAATAAAAAAAACAGCAAAATTTACCAACACACAACAGAAATGAGTATTTGTCGACATTATGTGATAAACAAAAACTCACATTCAGCAGAGTCAAGTGGACAGCACGAGGACTCACAGCAGACTGCGCCCCGGCACCTACACCCAACTGGGTTTTATAAAGTATATAGTCATGCTCGGCGGCCCTCCTCAACCACTAGGTTCCAGTAATGTGCCGCCGGTGCGAACCTGTGAACACTTTACTTCATCGATTTCTGGTACATCAAGAAGGAACACGTATTTCAACTCGTAATAATATCGTTCATTCATGCGTGGCTGTGTGTTACAAATTTCAATTACTACACTTGGACAGTTCTCACGTCTCTGTTGGCAGGTTGTTTATTTTCCAGCGAGGTAAAATGATCAGTGTTATAAAAGTGCCAAGAGCAGAACCGCAAATTAGTTTTTTTTCAGACTACACGAGCCGCCTCAAACACTACTACGAATAATAATAATATAATAATAATAAATAATGATAAACAGAGAAAAATGAAATAACTTATTTATCTATTTGTGTCACGTTTAACTTCACAAACCCACCAATATAGTTTATCTCGAGTTGTGTCACTATCCGTCAGAACTCTGGTGCGTGACTCGCATAGATAACAAAGGCTCTGTTATAAGTGGTTATCATCACCTGAATACTTAACCATAATTCTGAGTAGCCATGACGATGCACTTATATAGAGGGGGGTGAGTTTGTTTATAATAATAATAATAATAATAATAATAATAATAATAATAATAATAATAATTATAATAATAATAATAATAATAATAATAATAATAATAATAATAGTCAGTTTCACTTTTCTCAGTAAATCTTTTTCAGTTGACTTTAATTCACCTAAGTCCTAAACAAACACCATCTGGCTCCTGAGAGGTTAAGTCTAAAAGTTGACCTCATCAGTGAGCTGCTTAAACACTCCTCTAGGATTAATGTTCTTAAACTTTACAGGTCGACAATTATGGTCAGAAACCCACTTTGGAAAGGTATTAAAGCATGGTTAGGTATAATGAAAAGCTGGAGTCCCTGGAGTGTGTGCAGGTGAAGACCAAAATAGGTGAGGTAGCACCTGTATCAGATAGCCCGTCCTCCCTCGGGGCTTCGTCGCGCCATGGGGGCTCCCTGGTGGAGGAGGATGTTGTTCACTCGTCTGGCCTCCACCACCTGCTGCATGTCCAGGTTCGGACGTGTCTCCTGGGCTGCTATGCCTCCGCGTCATTGTCGTCGCACGGTGAGTCGCCTGTATGTTTTTTATAGTATGGAGGGCGGCGGCTGTAAATGGCCACCTAACTCTACTAATTGCCGAACTGAAGGCGGTCGAGTGTAGTGTTGACCACTGTGACTCCTCCCGTACCGAAGGCTTAGTGTACAGTGTGCTGTACCCACACTGTCCCTAATGTATTGTACAGTCATGCCCTTCGGACCTTCATTAGTTTTTATTTATTGAACATACACTCTCTCTTATGTAGGGAAATATATATAAAAATGTATACAATTTTAATGGAAAATTCATACTCTTATGTATGAATTCTATATCGGTATTATTCATGAAATGTATGTCAACATTCATCTAAGAATTAAATGCCAAAATTCATGCAATATATGTTGATACTGTGTAATATATACAGACATTACTTGTGGACATAATGTATGAGATATATGACATTTATTAAGTTAACGCTTGGTCATCATCTGCCCCCACACACGCCGTGCAGAACATTGTTGTGGAATCCAACAGTGAAGATCAGTTACTTTTATAATAAGCTGGGGGTTGCAGGCACATGAAATGATGCAAGACAAAAGTGAAGGAATGGGCAAAACAACAAATACGAATTTTTTCACACACATGTACTTATATTTAAAATTTTCACACACATTATAAAAAAGTTAAATATAGTTCTAACACATTATGTCAACGATTGTCTCACGTAAATATGTACAGTAATATTTTTGTTCAGTTAACAAGAGGTGTTAATGATACTTTATGTGTTATTAAATGTGTATGTTTATATATATATAAACATTTAAGAATTCTTACTCATTAAAATTAAACAAGATCAATTGTGTTCCTCTCTAGTGGGCGAGTTTGACGATGGCAACACGACCTAGAAAACTCTGATTAGTAACGAAAAGCCGCGTTCGTTCCATTCATTACAAAACTACACTAACATACACTATGTACTTGCTAAATTACTGCCGACAAACACTCATTAAATGTGATGAAGGAAGAAGCCGAGAAACACGACTTGGTCAGAGAATAACTTAGTGTACTTTTATTTAGTCTTTGTTAAAATAATAATAATAATAATAATAATAATAAAACGAATATGTTAATGATCAACTCCAGGAGGCCAGAGTAATGTAGTGTCAACCAGTAAGTCCACGGAGGCAAAGTTCCCAGGATCATGTTGCCAGCGTCACGGTTATTCTGATGAGGAACACAGACACAGCCTTTATTGAGAGTCTCTCTCAGATTTATGTTGTTACACTCTTACACCGAGACAAGAACAATTTACAGACACAAAGATACATAATTACTTAATATAAAGTTCGCCACGATCACGATATTTTTAGTTGTTGACTTTAAAAATGCTTTCATGTCCCGTACCAAGAAAAGGAAGTCTTAATTTTTGGCATTTTATCTGGTACAAAATATTTGTTCCTTCAATTCGCTCTTTAACGTACACACAGATGTTTCGTTCACATTCCACACACAAGGAACACGTGGCGACATTATGTCTGAAATATTTCATAAAATGTTTGCCCTCCAGATGTTTTCGTTTAATACAGTGAAGTCTACCCTCTCGTGCAGTCCGTTTTCTCTACCTAAGGTTGCACAGCGTGTATCCAGCGGCATTGTAAAATGCTGAATAAGAGTGACTGGTCAAATGGGCCGCATTCCTATTAGGCCCCCGTCTTAACAGGCCCATGTCTTAAAAGACAATTGTCCTCATACTGTATATACCGAAATTTAACATTGTTCAATAAATGTGTCAAGTGTACACAAGGAATTCTCTGGCATATATTTTTGTCAGCGTGAGAGAAATCGTGCCGTTATGACAGTGTTGTCAAGTTTTTGATGTTCCTTCACCTCAGGGTTACAAATATCTGTTATATCCTGTTATTGTCATCAAGGACGGAATTTTTTCATTACTCTGCATTGTCAAGGTTTTGGTGATCACACAAACACACACACATACAGAGTATAAGTAATTGAGCCTCTGTGTCGTATCATCATTGGGTATGAGTTTGCTTGGGAGATTGGTATCCCCGCATCCCCTGAGCAACGCTCTTGTGCATTATGCAGAAGACCCGACAGCAGCACCCTTATCCACTACCTCCTAAGATGTCCCCACACACAACGCCTGCTGGACCACCACTCCACGACCCCCTGACGGAGACACGATGATCCTCCCCATACTGGCCAGATATTTTGTAAATAATATTGATTATGTGTTAAAGGAATATCCTTCCTTCCTTAGGCTTTAGTAAGCCCATTTATAATATTTATACTTGTCACACTTGCCAGATGCTTCTGGTGTCATTGTACAGGGGTACCTAGTGACAGCGCTAGGATCCCGCTTCCTCTATCAAGGAATAAACAATTGAAATTGAAATTGAAATTGAGCGTCTGTGTCCCCTTTCACCCGCCGAGATCAGAAGCTCATGGTCTCAGGGGCAAAAAGGCGCCAAAAAATTAAATGGGGGTGAATTCCAAACTAAATGAAACAACCGGAGACTCAAGGTAAACTCTGCCCCTGTCGAAGTGCCCCAACACAGGCAGCCAGCGAGGATGTGTTCACCCTAGTCCTCCCTCCCCTTGTTTGTGAGGAACTGGAGGAGCCCCACAACACGTAGCTCTTACTTATATTCCTCTATTTCACCTCTAAACACGTAACCTAATAGAGAAATAAGAGGTAGTAAGAGAGGAGGATATGGTACAAGCAGCCAGTGTGTAAAATCCTTATATTTGACTCATGCACAAAGCAGTAAAATAATTCTTATCCTTAACACTATGTTCTGTCACCATCAAGGACAGTGACGTAAAGTGCACAGAGGGCGACACAGGGCTGCTCGTTTTCCTGGTCACTGTCGGAAATATAAGTTGTATACTGTGTTAAATGGTATCACGAAAATGGCCGTCAAGTTATAATTTTCCAAACGGCACTAACTTACCAAGCCTAGATTAATTTAACGAGTCTAGGGTAGAATATTACGTACAAGCGCGTCATATCACAACGCGACTGACTTTGCAGATTCCTCATAATGTAAATGCGTAACATTGCAAAACTCATGTAACAGTCGGCTAAAAGTTGTGAAAGTTACACATTCCTGAAACAGTTTTGCAAATTCGCAGATAAATTGACGATTTGCCAATATTTACAAGAATTTTACAGTTACAATGACTTATTTATAAGATGTTCCTCCGTTTGTCACTGAAGCACTTTTTTGTAGGCATTGGTCTGGTCTTCATATTCTACGTTCATCCATAGTTTTAGGATATATTTGTTAATATTAAGCTCAGCAAAACGTAACATAATAAAACGAAACAAACTTAACCATATCAAAGTCTATCGAAGTACCGATTTTGTGTCTAATTGTACTAAAGAAAAGGTGCTGTTTGACTGATGACACACACACACACACACATCAAGCACTATATGTCTTGACTTACCCCCACAGTCAAAATAAAGGAATTACTAGTCCAATTTGTTGACATTTTGGGAACCTTTCTATTAATATTCTTTATGGTTAGGTTAGGTTTGGTTAGGTTAAGTTTGGTATAGATTGAATTAGTTTTCATTTGGTTCAGTTAGGTTAGGTTAGGTTAGGTTATACAGGATAATTTTTTCATTCGAGATTCCAAAATATTTTCTATATTTCAGGACGTACAAATAACAAGAACATCATAATAAAAAAAATAAAAAATAAATAAAAGACCTTACATTACCTTAAGTTGGGGCCAATTAGAAAAGAAACTCATTTGATTAAGGTCACTGTAGTTCAAATTACAATAAAGTGATTCATGGCGACAATGACTATACAGAAAAGCTGGCGTTACGTTGCTATATTCAGCACCGGGGCCGCTCAGGTGTCTAGTTGTTACACCCACTGCCACGTCAAACACTGTTCATGGAGGTGTAAGGGGTGTGGTGCCTAGCGGATCTTTCTCGAGGCATACCTGTATTTTTTATAGAACATTGAACTATATAAATACCAGGTAAAAATAGAAAGTTAGGGTGGTGTATTTGTGTGTTGGTATATATGTAACTATACATGCACCGAATCGAATCGATGGGTGAAGTAAAGTATGCAGAGATCTTGATGCTGGTGCGTAGGTTGGTGGTGCGGGAACTGGACTTGAAGAATGATGGTGGAATTTGGAGGGACTTGGGGTTGGTGGATAGTGCAAGAAGAAAAGCGAGGAAATTGGAAAATAGTAGTAGAATGCTAGGTCTTGGGGCTAAACACAATTGCTTCTGTTTTCTCATGTTTGTGTTTCAGATAATTTTCGTCATAGGTGTTATATTCATGTCAGGTGCATACATAAAGACACACAGGCTCATGCAGACTATAGGCACACATACAGTAACATACACTTTTATGTACACAGATACACATACATAGGGAGGCATGAGTTGACTGGAATATTCTTGATAATGCAGCTGTTAACCAATCGACCAGACTCTGCAGCTGTCAACCAATCGACAAACTCTACAGCTGTCAACCAATCGACAGACTCTACAGCTGTCAACCAATCGACAGACTCTACAGCTGTCAACCAATCGACAGACTCTACAGCTGTCAACCAATCGACAGACTCTACAGCTGTCAACCAGGTTATTCATACAACTATGAACTTGATCAAACAGTTACAAAATAGATCGTGCCGCTCAGTCAGTTTCTGTGTAGCTGTCGACCTCTGAGTCGCGTGTCAACCTTCGTTCAGCAACCAAACCCCGTGCAGCTGTTAACCAGACCGTGCAGCTGACACCCCTCACTTCCCCCCTCCCGTGCCCGTCAGCAATGTGGTGATGAGTCAGCCGGCAGTCAGGCGTGCATAAGACCGTGGTGCGGCACGACTCCACCACAGTTCACCGCAGACCCTCGCTTCGTACACAACACCCGCAGCCGTCTTCTCTCGCGCCCTTCTCTGTGAGTACTGATCCATCCGTGTCCTCTTGTGTGTATGTCTTTCTCACCCACTCCTGTGTCGGTATTGCTCCTCGTCTGTCTTCCTCTACGAATATTTGCACCGTCAAAATACTCCTCAGTGGATAGTATCCCTGCCACGCCCCACACTGAGTATTGCACCATCCTCCCCCTCCTGCGTCCACCTCTGTGTCCTCCCCAGTGAATATTTGTCCTGCCACGCTATCGTTTATGAGTACTACTTTGTCTTACCTCTACGTTTTCTGTGAGTATTCTTCCTCACACGCCATCTGTGAGTATTCCTCCTCACACGCCATCCTCTGTAAGTATTCCTCCTCACACGCCCTCCTCTGTAAGTATTCCTCCTCACACGCCCTCCTCTGTAAGTATTCCTCCTCACACGCCCTCCTCTGTAAGTATTCCTCCTCACACGCCCTCCTCTGTAAGTATTCCTCCTCACACGCCCTCCTCTGTAAGTATTCCTCACACGCCATCCTCCTCCTCACGCCATCCTCTGTAAGTATTCCTCCTCACACGCCATCCTCTGTAAGCTGTAAGTATTCCTCCTCACACGCCCTCCTCTGTAAGTATTCCTCCTCACACGCCCTCCTCTGTAAGTATTCCTCCTCACACGCCCTCCTCTGTAAGTATTCCTCCTCACATACGCCATCTGTAAGTATTCCTCCTCACATACGCCATCTGTAAGTATTCCTCACATACGCCCTCCTCTGTAAGTATTCCTCCGCCGTCAGTACTACCCTTATCTCACCTCTCAGTTACATCTGTGTTTCTTCAGTTCATTAAAAAACATGAGTCATCTTTCGTTGTAAACTAAGGATTAAAAAAAAACCCGAAGGAGGAATTCATTATTTTGGATGATTTGTCGTTACTTCAGGATGATCGTAAGAGAGCTCTGACAGTCGGGTTATTTTGTTCGTGAAAATGTTGTTCTTTATTAACTTGGACAACTTAGATCTTCAATAAGCTCTTACAAGGAAACAGTTTATCATGCACTGAAGATCATCTGTCAAAATGCAGTTCATGCAGTAGAGAACATCTGTCAAAATACTAAGGAAACATCTTTTTGTTATGTTTAATTTGTAATACTGTAGTGTACAGTATGTTTGTCTCTCACCTCGTGCCTGGGGGAATTGTTGTCAAGTTATCGCGAATAATTTACACCTGTCCCTCGTACGTCATGTCTTTTATTAACCAGGAATTGTTGAACTGGCGTTAAATTATCGGGCAGAAAATTAAAGCACAAGGGCTCTTTTTATTTACTTTCGTTTGCTTTCAGACTACACTCATATTTAAAATTTTTCCTAATGTTATGATATAATTAATATATTTTTCTACAATAAATTTCCGCAGGTAACAAAAACTCTCACATCTATTTAATTGTTTTTTCAAATATTACCCCATTTTACTTAACATACTTTTCAATATTATGAAATTATTAAATATATTCTCTGTATTTATCTCTATACAAATTCATACGGTACCAAAAATCATAATTACTATTTCAATGTATTTTTGTTTTGCCTTTATACTAGTCCACTACGTAAACACATCTTTTTATCTAACACTTCAATAATATACTAACGAAGAACGTGTGTTTAAACCCCCTGTGCTTCAGGCGTGCCGTCACTGTAGTCACGTGAACACCAGCCAAGGAATATGAAGGAACTCGACAGGATATAATTCATTGGGCTTAATTTCCTCCATGAGAAGCCCACAGTTGAAGGCCAATGTGACCCTCGCCTAAAACTCACTCATTATCCTGACAATTCATCTTTCTACCTTTGTTTATCTAAATCTCTGTAAGTCTTTCTATTTATCTCTTTAACTTATTCTTCTATCTATCTATCTATCTTTCTATTATGTCTTCATTTTCACTTCTCTCTTTTCTCCCTTTCAAGCACAACCTTTCCATCTGTCCTTTCTTTCTTTCCCATGCTTTCCCCCTCTCACAGAACACACACACACACACACACAAACGCCTTCCCTCCCACACCTTCCCTTGACAGCAAAATTCCTTCCCATCTGTAACTAATTAGCATTCCTCTCACCATTGTCTTCTCTCCCTCTGTACATTAGCTCTCACTTCACCGCTTCAAGATGTTGTTTTGTTTTGCTACTCACACACACACATGACTAATTATTTATTCTAACTACTACTACCTTTAATCGCCTATGGGTTTACTAATGACACTAATTATGACTCTAATCATCACCCTCCACTGTTCTGCTTGATACATAATTATACCCAACTGGTCTTTAATCACCGCTGTACCCTCTCACCCCCCACGTCCTCAGTGCGTTGATTTTCAGGCCTGCCCGCATCACAACTAATAATACACCCATTATTATACCCCTAAAGTCTCGCCCCTATTACCCTTCCCGCCGCCCCTATTACCCCTCCGCCACCCCTTACCCCTCCGCCACCCCTTACCCCTCCGCCACCCGTTACCCCTCTGTCGCCCCTATTCCCAATTGGAGGCGACTCATGGTTTCTCCCGACCCTTCCTCCTCTTCCCTCATTTCCGGTGAAACGAAAACTACGGCAATTTTTCCACGTGGTATCTTCTTTCAATTTTGTTTTCGTAATATGATACTACACTTTAGTCACTGGGAACAGGAAATAATGAGGGAAATGCAGAGACAGATTCTGTGAGGGTAATTCAAGTGAATTACTGGAACGAATCTCTGAGCCTGACCATACAGTAAACCACTTGAATCACCAATCAAATCGACGTGTTGCTTCACTGCCTTCCATTACCCTACTCCTCCAGTAGCCGGAAGTGCTTTTGTATATAAAACAGAACGAATAATTCACAAGGATTCGAACCACTCAACCACAACTCGAATCAGGGACTTTTGAAACCCAAGGCCATTTCTTTAAATCGTCATGAAGCTGGACTTTTCGATTTTACTTCAACACCGCAAAGAGTCACATGTTTTTCAGCATCTCTACGACACTTCCATATATATTCATCAGGAGTAAATCAGACTCATATACAGTTCCTCGTTTTTGGTGTTTATGAACGATATCCGTCAATCGTCAGTGATGGCTAGCGGATGACAGGAGGGATGCGGGCCCCAGGCAGGAAGTGGGCGGGTGGGTTCCTCCTCACTGATCGCTGCTAACACAACAATCAAATCTCTCCGACTGTGTGCTTTCATGACAAGGCAACCATTATTTTTTACCACCTTCCGGAGACACTGTATGACTACTACTATTTTTAACTCCCATTTATACTATCAACTCCTACTCCTCCTATTACTATCACTACTGTTATTACTACTATTACTATTATCACGCTACTAACATCCTAGGCAGCTACAAGGTAACATATCGACTTTCTATACAGTCCCAGTGTATTTATGACGCCCTTGTGACCACCGACTCGATCGATCATGTAGGTAATGTAAATCAATTGTGTGGGTTTTCAAGACGTGTTTATTTAGGTGTGGAAATTATCGTAAGAACATTGGTGCATTTAAGTATCATGTCAAATTGCTTGAGAGAGAGAGAGAGAGAGAGAGAGAGAGAGAGAGAGAGAGAGAGAGAGAGAGAGAGAGAGTTAAGCTGTTGGCCTGCTGTTCATTGTCATGGTGTCTGGTAATTTATCCGACTCTCTTCCCCTCTACTGTCTCTCTCACTCTGTATGCTTTGTCCTCTTTGTTTGTCTGTCTATGCATGTCTGTCTTTCCGTCTGGCTTTCTCTCTGTTTGTCTCTTTGTATATGAAACCCATTAGAGTCTCAGGATAATCTTGACTCCATCTTAACCACGTGTATGTTGTAGTTCTATAGAGTTAAATACGTTCTCGTGTCTCCAATAAAGGATCTAATATTGACCTATGAGCAGTTCAGTCATATTTACGAGGATGAATTAAGGTAGAGAAGTAATGAGATGAGTATTTATGTCCAGAGGATAATTATGAATGTATCTCTGTGGCATAGCTTCAGGGAGTCAGTTAGATGGGTTATTGTGTATCCAGAGAGGTGAATACTTTTGACGAAAAAAACACTGAGAATTCTTCAACAAAAAACAAACCAATTCCTACATAGGGGTGAGGAGGGAAGTATGTGTGTGTGTGTGTGTGTCTCAGTAGCCGTGGTGTGTGTGTGTGTGTGTCTCAGTAGCCGTGGTGTGTGTGTGTGTGTGTGTGTCTCAGTAGCCGTGCAGAACTCGTTACCAAGCTCACTAGGGTCTCAAGGGCAAGTGAACACGACCACTGAACTCCAACACGCACTAGCTGCTTTTGGGCGAACAACTGAACACACGATATTGTACTCATAGAAAGAATATTGTAATGTTAATATCAAGCAGTGGAATATATAGGATAGAGAGAGAAGAGGTCTGATGGGTTTACGTATTTTATAATATCCTTTGGTAATATTCCGAGTCTTTTTGCATTACTCATCTCCTTCCCTCCATCTTTCCTCCACCTTACTGGTTTAACCCTTTCACCCTCTCTCTCTCCCTCCCTCCATTCTCACACTCCCTCCCTCATCACCTGCCCCCTTCCCTCCCTCTTGTCGTGTTCATGCTTCACTACCATTGCCTCCTTCCCTCCATCTCCTCTCCACTCCACCCCCGTTCCTATCACTTTACTCTCTCTATAAACCATTATTTGTGTTTTTCTATCTCCACCCTTCCTTTCTCTCTCACTAATTCTCTGACTCCCTCTTTCCATCCTCCCTCCCTTTCTCTCTCCTACCCTGATTCCCTCCCTCCATCCTCCCTCTCTACCCCCCTCTCTTTCTTTCCCTGATTCCTTCTCTCCTCCTTCTCTCTTTGATCCATCTCACACTACATCAGAACCACAATTCTCCTTGTCAACTCTCACCTCCTTTCATCCCACCCTCTCTTGTTCCCTTCCCCACCCCTTTCTCTCTTCTCCCACCTCTCTCTCCCTTCTTCTCGTCCCCTTCTATAATCCATACCTCCTCTCCCCCACCTCTCCCCCCTCCCGCTAGGTCCACCTCCCCATAACAACAGGTACACACCATCGACCCGTAGAGTGGACAATGGTTGGTGTCCACTCCTGCTCTTAATAAATCATTGCTCGACACCCCTACTAAGCGTCACCTAGCACCTGAAGGATCACTGGACCTACCTAACTCACCCGTGTGGAATATTAATCATGGCACCACCTATATTATTGCTTACTGGATCTATATATCATCATTATATTATATATGAATTACTTCTATTCGTTCTGAACATACTAACAATAACAGGTGTATATACTGATAAAGTACCTTGATTATATTATGTAACATCTGTATTGGATTTACTATACTAATACATTAAATCGCTCTTGTACTTAGTGTATGTATTGTCGCTATTTTTATAAACCACACTTCCACGCTCTTAGTGTTGAATGTATTACACTCCACGTTAATACAAATCATAAAAAAATAGTTTCTTTTTATTTCACCAACCAGCTGTACGATAGTTAATAATTCCCATCTATCATACTTGTTAATGTTGTTAATCCTATATAAGATTTTCTATGTTTTTATGTTAAATGTGTTAATTATAAACCTGTAGCCAAATTTGCATAATGGAAGGAAATTATTATTATTTTTTAAAGTCAGATTTGATACGGATTTCACTCCTGCACATGCATTGTTTTTTCTGTCTGTCCAACGTGATTTTCTCCATTTGTAGTGTGTGTGTGTGTGTGTGTGTGTGTGTGTGTGTGTGTGTGTGTGTGTGTGTGTGTGTGTGTGTGCGAGAATTAATGTTTACAACCCTAGGAGCCGACATGTGTGAGATGCTTCAAGTCAGAACAGTAAAACACAAACGTGACCGATTAAAATCCACCGCCGAACAACCTCACTGGAATCTCTCAATTTCCACCAGTTTCCTACGTGGCAGCTGAGCATGACTCCCCCACAGCCGCATCTGTAAAGTCACGGACGCTGGTAACTGATTTATGATGACAAACCATTAGCAAATATTACACATTGTCGACAATTCCAAAACAGTAGACAGGTGTGACAGGATTGAGAAGACAAGAGGGAACTTTGACAGGAAGAGACAGGAATGGTAAGGCCTATCGAATCTAAAACCAAAAAAAAACCAAAAAACAAAAATAACAAGATCTGAATAATGCAGAACAAACACACACTATAATAAACCAAGGCAGTTAACCCCTCTCTCTCCCCCCCCCGCAAACACTATATGATTGGATAAAACAGTTTAAACACCCATAAAAACCAACAAACATAAAACTCTCTCTACAGTCCAAACAACAAAAACAGATTGAAGGCGACTAGGTTTTAGAGAGTTAGAACCCCTTCCCCCCCTCCAGCTAGGCACAGAAGGGTTTATCATGACAGAAAAAAAAACCCCACTAAGATATGAAAGGTTCAGCAACACACAGACACCACCGCACACTCTCAAGGTCACTTACTTGCTGTACAAGAGCCTAGACACTCCTGACTGTCATAAATTTCTCCGTAAATTCTGGATTAAAACCTTGGATGAATTGTAGAAATTTTCCCCTGATATAGACAGTATGGGAGACATGCACAGATAGATAGATAAAGGAAGAGAAAGAGACAAATAAATACCAAAATAATTAAACAAATAGAGTAATTCTGAAGTAAAATGTACACCCGGTTCTTCCCTTACGCGTTCATAACACAACAAAACACATAGTTAAGAGAGTTAGAGACTCGGTGTAAGAGCGATGCCATTTTGGTCATTCTGATGTTTAGTTAGGACTGGAAGTGTGTGAGGTGCATTGTAAACATCTTCATATGAGGGGCTTGAAAACATTATTCTTATGAAACATCGAGGATCCGGGTGTTATGAAGGTCAAAACAATTTTTCTATTATGTCCAGTGATGGTGGTTGTTGTGGTGATGGTGGTAGTAGTGGTTGTGGTGTGTTGTGGGTCGGTGTGGTGGTGGTGGTAATGATGGTGGTAGTGTTGGTGGCATTGTCTTCTCTTATCTCCCGAAACAAAAGAAAGAAAGATAGAAGAGAGATAATGAAAGAGAAGAAAAATTAAGAATAAAAAAAATCCTGATGAATAAAGAGAAAACAATACACAAATACCCTTTAAGAAACTGATGCCTTAGAAAACAAACAATAATATTTATATCCTTAGAAACCAGAAACCTCCTTCATAGAAAACAAACATCAAATATCATAAAAGGTGAAATATAATGCTTTTCAATGCCCCAAATCTCAGTCAGTCAGTCAGTCAGATAAAAGAGAACAACACACATATAGTATATCCTGTTTCACTCGGTCGGTCACTCTCCGGGGTGCAACGTGTCTGATGCCGCCGGCTGACTCTTCAAAGCACAAGGGAGGCGAGCCAACGTAGCCCGGATATTCTCAAGTCGAGTGAGATGTTCCTAAATGCTTGTAAGTCCTTCCCAAATGCTCGTAGGCTATTCTAAAAAGAGTCGTAGGTCATTCCCATAGCACAAAGGTCATTCCCAAACCATAGAGGTCAATTCCAAAGCTTCGTATGTCGTTTCCAAAGCTCTTAAGTCCCTCCCAAAGGCTCGTAGGTCATTGGCAAAGAACATAGGTCATTCCCACGGCCTCGTAGGTCAATCTCATAAGTTCATAAGTCGAATTTTTCCTCGCAGCTGAATATTTAAAAATTTATTTAACTAACTTGAAGCTAAAGTACATGACATGGAGTCTAAGGTGGCTTCCAGTTTACAGAAAGACCTTATTTAAGTTCAATACGTTTTCTGAACCACCTGAAGATTAGGCTTTCCAGCTTAGTTCCTCATGGTAATTCAAAACCCTAACCTAACCTAACCTAATGAACACATAAAGGAAATGAAATTATCTGTATATAGTTATAGTGGAATAATCAAATGGATTTTCAAACAAATTCAAACACGGAATTAAACACAACAACAAAGACTACAAACACAAAAATGTGAAAATTGACGTGAGATTTTTCGTGGTTTTCGAAATGTAGAAACAAAACGATTGTAAATGTCTGAGTGTAAATAGACCAACAGCCGCCAATGTGGTAGAGTCTAGGCTGTGTGTGTGTGTGTGTGTGTGTGTGTGTGTGCGGTGACGATGCAAAAAACCAAACCAGAACAACACATACATGACTCATCCGCCACTACCACCATCACATCACCATCACCATCATCATCACCACCACCATCACCACCACCACCATCACATCACCATCATCACCACCACTGGGAAAGAAGACTGATTTGAACACCTCCAATATGCAACAACAACAACAACAATGCAGACAGAACGTTATGTAATCAAACTCACAAAATATACACGTACTGTATCTTTCTGTGAATCATAATGGCCAGTGGAAGGTAAGAGGGCGTGTGTGAGTGTGGGTGTGTGGGTGTGTGGGGAGAGTCGTGGAAGAGAGAGAGTTTGAGGGAAAGAGAGTGCGTTGGGGAAAACGAAGTGGGTGTGTCTGTATGTGTGGGATAGTGTAGGATAGCGTGTATGTGTGTGTGGGGAGTAAGAATGTGAAAGGGAGAGCAGTCGGGTGTGGGGAAGACAGAAGTTACAGGGGGTGTGAGGAAGACAGAAGTTACAGGGGGTGTGAGGAAGACAGGGTGTGTGTGAGGAAGAGAAGGAGGGGGGTGTTGGTGGGGGGGACTCAAGGGGGTAGAGAGGGTCACCTTCACACACCGGTGTTCCCGCTACACAGTTTATTGTTCAGTCGAGGAAGTGTTCGCTCTCTCTCTTTCTCTTTCTTTCTTTCTTTCTTTCTTTCTTTCTTTTTTTCTTTTTACCTGTTTGCCTGGATTACATATACTTATCTATCTATCAGGTGTGTGTGTACATAAGTGGAAGTGAAAGATAGATTTAACTGATTCATTTCAATTATCTTAATATATACAGGTGTTTCTTTACAGGTAAATAAGCAGCCGTCAATATGAGTTAATAAACCGTATAGTGTAGTACATAATATAACCTCCTGTATGATTAGAAATACAGTAACGTACATAGGAACTCTCAAAAGAGTACTTCAAAATGACTGTACTGTAATTATCACAGGCTAAAGTAATCTAACCTAATGCAATTTATCCTAACCAAATAATGCTTTAGTTTTGATAGGGCTACAGGTAAACAATTAATATTTGAAATTACTTTTACATGTTTCATTATCATATTATTTCGTATTGACTTTAGGTTAGGTTAGGTTTACCTTATGACCTTTCCACTTCATGATAAGCTTAAGTAAATAATATCCTCATTATAATGATAACATAAACAAACATTAGAGTTTTCTTAGACGTCAAGTTGAGCATTTAAAGAAAACGTTTCATGGTAAACTCTGCTAATTTTCTCGTGTTTGTTGAGTTGCCTAATTTAGGACATCTCTTTTATCTATAATTCAAATTTATGGTGAGGGTAACAATCAGTGTTTGTTTTCGTCCAATAATAATCATGTAACGTAATTAATATTTACCTAATTGTGACTTAGAAATTGTAAGCCTGAGCCAGATCTAAGCAAGTTCAGGCATCTCGCATGATCTTATTCTGATATATTCTCAGTCTCCTCCTTCTCCTACATAATCTCTATTTCCTGACCTCCACAGGACTCCTATTGTTTGATTTCTAACAATATTCACAAAGCTTCTATAATCTAACCTTCACGTCCCCACAGAAGTCTCACAACCTGACCTCCATATCTCCCACAGAGCCACCACCACCACAACCACCATCATGCCTGAATACAAGCTGATCTACTTTAACGCCAGGGGTCGCGCTGAGCTGAGTCGTTGGATCATGGCTTACGGTAACATCACCTACACGGACGAACGTGTCGAGAAGGAGGATTGGCCCGAGAAGAAGAAGAGTAAGTATTGATTTTTACACGTGTTTTAGTTATCCTAAATGACCGTCTTTCCTGGTCTGGCTGACGTTGAATTTTCTACACGAGCAAATGGTCTTAACAAGTACAAGGACGAGTCTAGATAATTAAAAAGCTTGAGGCACAACTGAGTGTCTTTTTTATGGTGCTGCCGAGTTATATTATTCATTCAATACTTCCGGGATGGCCTCTGGGGTCAATTGGTAAGAGCGACGGTCTAATACGTCCAATCTAACTCAACCACCCCGAGTGGGCCATAATTCTAATGACTCCAGTAACAAGGCGTTCCAATCCTGTTCCCAACCTGGATGGGCGCTATTTCTGACCGTTAGTTTAGGTTAGCTGGGATATATAACGCTGGGGCCTCTTTGATTGGCGACCATTGGAAACACCCACGACAGGGAAAGATGATATGGCTTCTTCCTATAAATTACACAATGGCAATACAATTTAAGTCTTATTCTTCGACACAGTGACATTCAAAAGTGCACGACTGCAGATATTGTAAAATTGTTGCTTGGACAGAGGAAATAGTGTGGTATTAGTTTACATGGATAACACCCAACATTACTAACCTGAGTGTGTTTGCCGGAGAATCGTAGGGCCACTGTTAACACGTCAAAGGGAACGACAGCGTCACACACCGATTGTGAACTGACTCAAACTGGCCGTGATACCTGTGACTTTGGCGGTGATGGTCCTGTTGACTAGAGCGCTGCAAGGTACACCGACTACCCGGGTGCTAGTTCAGACACTTACCTTGTTTGTCTGGTCTGTTTTGATATTGGTTGTGACAAACTCCTCCTCATCAAGGTTCACCCCCACAGCGGGACAGCTCCCTGAAAAAGTTTCAAACGCCATCCCAAGTATATTGGAATTAATATAGGTTAAGGGGTGGAGTAGAAAGATACATCCTCAATGGGATACAATTATCTTCTAACAAGAACAATTAAGTAATGATACGTGGATTATTAATTTTGTGCTCATTCATCTACTAATTTACAGGTCTTCACGGAGGCAAGGTGCCGCTGTTGATGGTGGACGACAAGCCTCTGCCACAGTCTATGGCCATCGCCCGCTACCTGGCCAAGCAGGCTGGCCTCGTACCTCAAGACGACATGGACAGCGCCTACTGTGACGCCGTGACTGACACTCTCAACGATGTGACTGGAGAAGGTTATAAGATCATGTAGGTATAGGAGTGTGGTGCAGCGGGTGTCATAACAGACCCAAACCTAATCTAACCCGGCTATTAGGATTAAAACCCAGTCCTAACAGATTCTAGTCTTATTGAGCCTTAGTCCTAATATTCAGTTAAGTCTGGGAATATTAGCACTGGGACTTATTAAGACTTGCAGCCTGGAAAAGGTAACGTAAAGACATGATAAAGACATTATAGATACTGTAAGTTCCACCTATATGGTTCTTAGGTATTATAAACAAATCGATCTTGCTTTACGTATAGTGCCCCGAGCTCTCAAGACGGCCAGGCAACTATAGGCACATAGCAAGGTTGGGATGACTGGCTTGTCCCACGAAATATTTCTTTTTATTTAGAATATGAAAGTATTTGGAAGGGTTGTTTACTTGTAATTTATAATCAAATATAATAATGTCATGGATTATTTTGATTATTCTTGTTATTATTATTAGTAGTGTTAATATTATGATTATTGTAAGTATTAGTAGTCTGTCATTATTCATTAGCGTCTTACCGTGTGTCTGATGAATTCTTCCCAATAACTCCTAAGAACAGATTTTATATGACAATGACAGCAACAATAACAATAATGACGGTATGACAATGACAACCCAAGGGTGAGTTTTGATTAGATTGGAACTTTAGAGATTGTGAAGCCATATAAAACTAATCAACTGAACAATTCTTCTTGATTGGTCAGGTTCTCGTCCATGAGTGAGGAGGAGAAGAAGAAGACCTATCGGGAGGAGTTCTTCCCTAACGTGATGGAGCCCGTGTTGGTCAGACTCAACAAGCGGCTGGAGGAGAGAGAGTGGTTCGTCACGGACAAGGTCAGTGTCAAGATCTATAGACAAGGTTAATAAAAAGATCGAAAGATATGTACAGTGCTAAAGGACAAGGTCTGTTTCAGGGCCTACAGGTATAAGGTCAGTTTCAGGGTCCATATGTATAAGGTCAGTTTCAGGGCTTACGAAAGGGTATAAAGTGTGGTTTGGTCTCCTTTAATATAGTCTTCCCTTCCGTAGGTGACGTGGGCGGACTTCATGATCTCACTGGTGTTCGGGGAGGTGAGGAAGAGGAAGGCTGACCTGCTTGAGCCTTTCCCCAAGGTAGTGGCTCTCGTCCAAAGGGTCAGGGACCTTCCAGCCATCAAACAGTGGCTTGAGACATCTCCTGATACGCCATTCTAATCTCCAATGATTTTTTGTTTTGTTTTCACTTTCCAAAATGTCAACAATACTCTAAAACAACTATTTCTTAATTGACATTCTTTTAAAATATTTCGAGTCAGTGATCGTTTTCTAATTTGGTTCAACGTGAGTCTTAATAATTAGGACTTTACTTTAGTCCTCAGTGAACGTTTATTGTTTTTGCTCGATAAACACCATTCACTTTGAGACACCAGAGGCCTTATATGCGTGATAACATTTAGATAACGTTTGATTTAACTCATCATAGAGGGTCATATTAGCTCAAAACATATCCTAAAACTTAACCCATCACACCAGTCTAAACACGTCTAATGTTTTTCTTTATAAAGACTAAAACTAATTCTAAATACCAGGATATTCTTGTTCCGTGTATATCATATCAGAGCTCTTGTCAACATAACAGGATACTATGTCTGTTATCGGTGTGTTTACATGACCTGATTCACACACTTGTAATCAAACCTTACTATCACCTGTGCCTGACTCACACGCTCACAATTTATTCAAAACTTTACACACACACACATAATCTATCACACTACTGTATTACAAACCATCCATTCTTTTTAAATAAACTCTGCCTGACCGACGCTCATACGATCCGTCATCCTCAACAACTCAGATCCTTTAGTTACGACTTGTGATATTTAGATAAAGTTTTGCGTTTTTTTTTTGCTTGGGGTTATGTTGGATTTGAGATGTTAGACATGTTATTACGTTGACTGTATACGTATATATTATGAGAATCTTTAGGGAAATTGGTTTATGCAACAGTAATGGAGTGGGCTGTAATATATTGCTCTCAGAAAATAAATGTACGCAGTTTAATTCATTATTTAATAGGATTTATATAAATTCTTTATAATGAATATCTCACCAATAAAGAGTTTGAAAATTTCTTTGTGTATAATTATCGTTGATTAGGGAACAGATGTGTGTGTGTGTATGTGACAGTGGTTACCTTGAATTTTGCCCACATTTATATAATTGTTACTGTGTGAGTTTGCATGTAAGTGTTTCACAAGCAACAATCTGAGTGCAACGAATCATAATTATTAAATGTTTTACCTTAGGCTCTATATACATACTGTACACCTCCTCCACGACTCAACATCAGATCAAGACTTTCAGGTAATGTTGTAGGGATTACCAAAACAATATATTAACACGATATATAAGAGCTTTTATTAGCTGGGTATGACTACATAAGGATAAATACGCATTACAAAAAGTGGAAGATATATTTTGATTATCACATGATTTTCGCATTGCATAAACGCAGAGCTCCAGGAAAGGGCTGTATGTAAATGTTATCTGTCACACGTCTCTGATTCCATGAGCGTTGGTGCCTGGTCTGTCTGTCCTGGAAGTTCCCCCACTGTGTCACGAGGGACAGGCACACCCCGCGTGTTGCTGTGCCACGATGACCGTCGGGCTTGGTTCTGCACGTTCTGTAGGTACCTTCTGGCCGCCTCTGATGAAGATTCTCTCCGATTGATTTTATTGATCCTTTTGTAATTCCTCTCCATAATAACCGAGCTGATATATTCGTTTGACCGAGGTCTGACGTCCACCATCTCGTCAGAAGCCGAGAGTAATCTCGACCCCATACGATTAGTTCGATTTCTGCTCTGCCTTGACCCCTCGAACCTATGATCAACACCGTGCAGCCACGACGCTCCTCGGTGACAAGCTAGGTCTTGACTGCCCCATCTGCTGGGAAAATTCACCCTATTCGTAATAGACTCCTGATGAGTATTATCATCAGCTCCCAAAACGATATTTTTTATGAGCTCTGATAAGTCAAGTGTACTTTGTTGACTAACGTTATTACAGGAACCATTCATTTTTGATTCCTTAGTTTGACTGCCTTCGTCCGGAGACATATCACGAGAGCCATTAGTTCGTAGTCGTGAAGGAAACCGTCTCACTAGTGTCTCTGGAATGTCTCTAAACTCCAGGTCTGAGAGACGATCTTCCACGGCTTCATGATTACCTGATGATACAATATCACAATGGTCTGAGGGAGCGTCAGGCCCGGCCTCATCAACTAGTCCTCCTACAGCGCCTTCTGTGAACTGTAAGTGGACGTCTGACTCAGTGTTCGGCATCGGGTCTTCTTCTTCTTCTTCTTCTTGTGTATTTGGCAAGAATGAATTAACAGAAGCGTGAGCCGCGACGATCGTTCTCCACTCGTATGGTCCTCCGCCGCCCCCTGGACAACCCTCGTCACTGGCTGTATTCACCGATTCCTGTGAAAATGGAAAACATTACATTACTGTATTGAAACACATCCCAGGGGACGCTTAAATGCACCAGTAAAGTTCTCATAATAACAAAGTTAAAGGACAAAAGAAAACTAGTCGCCAGGATTTTCTGAATGATAATGGACATTGCTAAATAATATTATTTTGACAAGTTTGCATTTGCCTTCTGTAGTGTGAATTTATGTTGCCGCAGCGAGTTAAAAAATATTAATTGAAGAAATAAAACATTCAATTAACACACCAATTAAATATTGCAATGCATTACCAATATACTAATATGGAAAACATACTGTATACTGTATGCATACAATACTGGCCAGCATTCTTAACGGCTACGAGGCGAGGCGAGACACCACACAATTACTAATAATATCTAGAGGTTTTATTAGGTATTCCCCTGAAGGTGTAGCAACAGGTGTTTCTTATTCTCAGACGACTGGTAAACAAGGACCAGCAGTAATGTGTTACTTGAAAATATTTAAGAAATTTTAGATGAAATATAAATACTGTACATACATAAAGTTTCCCTGATATAAAGCCATCAAGCTTCGAATGGCCTTTAATATAACAGTTTAGCTGTTGATTGGATTTTATTAACGTTGTCAGTGACGGGCGGCGTAAAACAATAGGAAGCCTGGTGAATATTACCATCACCAAAAACCCCAAAAAGACACTTTTCTGTGAGGGTAATTTGGTGAAAAGTTGGTGTATTCGAATGGCGTGAACTGACTCTGGCTTCGGACTAACAAGTCACAATAAATGTTTGGACATCTATATGTCACACCTGTTCTGTCACTGACATTTCTAGAAGGAATAAAGTAAAAAAGAGACAGTTGATCTCGATGAGAGACACTCGTACATAAATTATAATAACAACATTATCCCCGAACACTTGATAAAACACCATTTTAAAATGCAGCGAAAATTTAACACATGAAGTATTTAAAACGAATTAATGAACAATATCAATTACAGTGACAAACGATTCTTTATACTGATCTGAAACGCGAGTTAAGAGGTACCGGACTTGATACAGGTTTAATTAGATTAGTGATAATTTACTTCCTGTTATTACTGGCATATAAGAAAAGGTCACCTGGTCTTACCTGATATGATGGAGCAGGATCTTGATGGAGCATCTCAAGCGGCAGGGGCGGGGCTGAGGGCAGGGTTGAGGGAAAGCTCTCTGATCTACCTGTAAGTTAATTAAGTATTGGATTACACAAGTCACGTTGAATCATCTACATCTCATTATTAACGACAAATTACTAAGAAATATTATAATTGTTCTAAGTTGTGGCGCCACTAGCCAGCGTCACTTAACTGGTCAGTGGTCAAGAATAATCATGACGACGTTAATAAATATCTTGAGCTTTTATCAGTTTATCTTTCATGAACTCTGTGTCACCTGACCCTCACTCACTACACACGGTAAAATAAAAACAATAAATATAAAAACAAAAGCCAGAGGCAATACCTACAGGAGAGGCAACACTCCTGCAGCACACACAGGTAGCACGGAGGCTTACTCCGCCCGCGAGTCGGTACATGACACCAGCACTGCAGGTTGCACGTGCCTTCCATCCTGGGGATTATAGTGCCACACCCTAACACAGAGCGAGTGTCAGAGCGTCAGTACCAGTCACAAGCAGAAGACGGTGTCAAGCAGGGCGTCAGTGTCAGTCAGTGCTGTGTGCCTATAGTCCCGCCAGGCTCCTCATGAGGTAGTACCCCAGGCTCCACGTGTTGGGTCTGTGGCAGGTGAGGGAGGGAGGCGAGGTTAACATACAGCAGTACAACACAAGGAAACAATTACAGTATAAAACTAATAGATGAGTTTCCTTAACTAATTAAAATAGGTGTTACATATTTACACATCATTCATTATAGTTTAATAGCTCACAATATATTGGTGTCCTCACTAGCTTCATAAAGTGTCATAGTGGAGAGGCGTAATAACCACTCGTATGAGTTAGCTTTGTGTGTGTGTGTTGAATGTTTTGTCAGATCACTATGAAGACGAGAGGACTAGCTCATCGGCCTCAAGGGGTTAATATACAGAAGTGCCCAATTATGAAGCTAAATTACATGGCGTAAGAGTCAACAATAAAATATTCAATACCTGACCAGCAAAACTCTTAAGTCAATATTGGATTAAAAACATACCTCATTAACGAGACTCAAACGTATAATAGAAAAACAAAGTAAATCATAACGAAGCTTCAGATGATTGATATAACTGAGTGTATTATATATATATATATGATCCCTGGGGTAACATCCTGGGACAATGTAAACAACGGTCGGGGTAATCATGTTGAATTATATCCCCGTCTATCTATCAATGTTAATGTTCTTGCTGGTCACAATAGATACCGTGCATATACACACATACACATATAATTACACATACATATTACACAGACATATATTTACATATCTATACATACACATAATTATATAGATACACAGACACTCAGATATATAGACATAGAAACATACATAGCCACTGGCATATAGACACGCTAGCGAGCCTATTAGCGTGAGAAATAAAATTTGATCAAATATAACCAAGTTATTTTTAACACAGTAAACTCAGTACCTTCTATACACAGTAACCGCTAATATCATCACCTGAGCTGCTAATTACCAAGGATACAGGTAGACAGGTGTGTTGTTCAAAATATGGTTATATAGATTTTTAAGGTGTTACTTCAAGGGCGGTTACAGTTTATGCTTATCAGAAAAAATGGAGAATTTCCATCTATTACGTTCGGGGGTAACTTGCCTCACCCGAACATAGGCACCCCAGCTTATTTCACCTGGTGATTAAAAAACCCAAACGTTACCTGGAGTGTTATGTAATGTTATATTAAGTAAGGTTAACTTAGGGTATGTTATGTTTTGTTAGGTTAAGTTAGTGTGTTTAATTATCAGGTGTAATAAAGCAGGACACAATCTTCAAGAATCAATTAATTTTCACACATTAGTAAGAGACACACGTACGTCTCAGGGCATTTTAAGACCACGGGTAGCGGGATAGATATAGTCTTAATACTACTGTACCTCCATGTGACCTCTCTAACCTGCACGTGAGCAAACCAAAGGAGCAACGATTAAGTGTACTTGCCGTGAGCGCATCTAAATGTTTCTCTTAAGCTCTGATACTGACTTGGTTTTCTAATGGAGTCTAAATCATACTGGGACTCTACCGTAATCCAGAATCATTTAAATTATATGTAGGTATGAGAATTTACTGACTGTTCTGACGTATGGGAAAACCTGGACCAAATTCTATTGTATATTTTACACGTAAGGAGGATATGTAACTCAGTGGTGATGGCGTAGCTGGGCGTCAATATACAGTTCAGTACCAACTTCTTGGATATAAACTTTATCATGCTGACGGTAGAGATAATGCCACTGTTATACTCGTATGCTTACTTGTTCCGTCACCTTTAAGAGCGGCTAAACTATATCTAAAAGTGAAGGTAGTTTTCTAGAGCGTGATGCATTTTTTTGTGTTTCTTTCTCAGGGTGACATAACACCTTCCATAACACTGCCGGTATGTCCACGATGCACCCCAGAGTTTGACATTTGCGGCTGGACTACGTGTAATATTGATCGCACCTCACTTCTGCTTTATTTGATGACATGTATAATTATTGCCTGTTATATAACTGTGATGTAAAAAATCTTGAGACTTTACTCGAGAGCAACATTTAATATTGTTCTTGTTTACAAATACAATAAACTTTGTTTCTCCCAGAATATCATTTAAAAAATTTCAATTAATGGTTAAATGCAATATTTTCTATTAAAACGCAAACGTTATTTACATATATGGTAAAAGTTGTCACTTTTGATAATCACTAAAATTTAAATCTCGTCACTTGCTGCAGCTGAACACTTTAACCCGTTGGCATCCCTGCGTTACCATGGCAACGTACCTCGACGGCGCCACATGCCTGTAGCCAAGCTGCTTTGTTCTACAGCAACACTACATGCGTCTTATTTTCCACTACAACAAAACAATATCACACACTACTATATTTTTTTCTCTGTTGCTTCACTATAACTCACTATTCCTGGCTGTATACCGTTAATTCCTTCATATGCGCCTATACTCCTGGTAATTGAATGACAACACGGAGAGCAACGCTTGCTGGTCCAGACTTCACATAGCAGGTGTACCAACCCATTCCCAACCAGTAAAAATTAGCCCGTATGATCGTGCAGGACAAGTCTCCCCTCCACACCACAAACAACCAGAACAGTTTTCTTTCACATCGTTTATAAGGTGTATGACCTTTCTAAACAGTTAATACAATTTAAAACCGTAATATAATTGTTTGGCGAAGTTTATTTTATAGATGTTTACTGCTAAATAAGAGAAACAAGTAGAATGAGTGAGAAAAGCGAGTCAAGGTGTCTATCGGCCGTCTGTGGTAGAAAACTTTAGTCGAGTTACCGAAAACATGAATATATTATGGTAGTGGTTTAATGACCTTCCCACCATCTGTTTATACTTTTCAGACTCAGGGTGTTTCTTACCGCCTCCCCACCACCTACAGCAGCACTCCCCACCACCCACGGCACCACTCCCCACCACCCACGCCACCACTCCCCACCACCCACAACCACCACTACTCCCCACCCAACACCACTCCCCACCACCCACGGCACCACCACTACTCCCCCACCCACAGCAGCACTCCCACCACCCACACCACTCCCCACCACCCACGCCACTACTCCCCACCACCACAGCAGCACTCCACCACCCACGGCACCACCACCCCCCACCACCACCCACCACTCCACCACCCACCACCCACCACCCCACCACCCACGCCACCACTCCCCACCACCCACGGCACCACTCCCCACCACCCACAGCACCCCACCACCCACGGCACCCCCCCACCACCCACCACCACTCCCCACACCACCCACAACACCACTCCCCACCACCCACGCCACCACCCCCACCACCCACAACACCACTCCCACCACCCACGCCACCACCCCCACCACCCACACCACCCACCCACCACCCACGGCACCCACTCCCCACCACCCACTCCCCACCACCCACAACACCCTCCCCACCACCCACCCACCACCACCACCCACACACCACCCCACCACCCACGCCACCACTCCCCACCACCCACGGCACCACTCCCCCACCACCCACGGCACCACCCTACTCCCCACCACCCCACAGCAGCCCCCACCACCCACGGCACCACTCCCCACCACCCACGGCACCACTCCCCACCACCCACGGCACCACCCCACCACCCACCACCACCCACCCACAGCAGCCCACCACCACCCACGGCACCACCTCCCCCACCACCCACGGCAGCACTCCACCACCCACGGCAGCCACCACACCACCCACAGCAGCACTCCCCCACCACCCACAGCACTCCCCACCACCCAGCAGCACTCCCATCACCCATAGCACCACTCCCACCACCCAGCCACCACCTCCCACCACCCACCACCACCCTTACTCCCCACCACCACAGCAGCACTCCCCACCCACGGCACCACTCCCCACCACCCACGGCTTCCCCCACCACACCACCCCACCACCCCCCACCCCCACCACCCACAACACCACCACCCACACCACCCACCACCACCCCACCCCCACCACCCACAACACCACCCCCACCACCCCACCACCCACACACCACCCACCACCCACAACACCACTCCCCACCACCCACAACACCACTCCCCACAACACCACTCCCCACCACCCACAACACCACTACACAAAACTAATTCCCCAAAAGAACTATTAATGGCCGTTTAAGTTGGATAATTACAAATCAGTAATATGTTTAAAATTATCCGTAAAGAATGAATTAATGATTATAAATACACTCCTAATGCCGCAACAGCCAACCTCACATGTATGGCTGTAGAACTTTCCAGAACTTCAGGATGCGGACTTAACAAGAAGCATTCACTGAGAACTACTGGAGGTTCCCTAAATCTTAAAATTCCTGTAAATTCTCGATATTCCTCAAATTATTTTAATCTTACGTGACTTGACGAATCATAACACTAACTCACAATTTTCTCCCAGTTGTCGTGCAATCTGCAGGCATGGCTGACTGTCTCTAGTCTAGTGAGTGACAAATACACAGACGCTTGTTATATATGCCATCTACACCCGCGTGTTATTCAGTCACACACACACACACACATCAGTGACCTCCACCACCTAGCACTAGCAAGGTTTGGCAGCGGACTACTGCACCATCCTCGTCATCGCCACCTCCTGTCACCGGCAGTCCCCCGCCCACCTCGCGCAGTCCACTACAACAATATTCAGCCCATAAGAGCCCGCACCGATAGATATAAGAATAGCACCATACCATCTATTGTTAAAATAATAAACAACTCCTGATTTATGTACTTTACAGCCCTGTAAATGTATTCAACGCTTATTATTATGTCTAAATCAAATGTAAGTTTGTATATTTTCAGCCACCGGCTGCTACTCTATTAATAAACAGTTTATTATTATTATTAGTTATGTATATCAATATAATAAGCGTATGCAATAATAAAGTCACCCAAAACATTTATTCATTATTTTATATTCGAGTATGTTTTCATTAGCTGAGGAACCTTCAGAAGATCATCAAGCGGCATATAACATGTAAACTTAACCCAGTGACCTGCATTACAGAGCTGAAGCCGCGGAGTCTAGTCCAGCATTAAT